AATTATTTAATGATTATTAATAGTTATATTAATAATTATTAATAATTAATAAATAATTAGCAAATATTTAACAATTACAATAATTAGCAATAATTTTTTTTTCATTTTCTATAGCATTAATAAACACTAAATTTATATTTAATATCTCAGTACTAAAGATATTTTTTAAAAGATTTTTAAACAAGATTGCTTTTCTATACCGGCAATTGGTAAGGTTTCGGAGTGACATCAATACCTCTTAAAGCACATCCACACACTACGAATTCTAATCGATCTTTAAAATGTGAAACCTGAATAAAAAGATTTCATAAAAAAAAATAAAAATTAATTCCACATATTCTGGAAAAAAATATTTCGCAAACAATTCCCTTTTTACAAATTTACTCTAAATTTGTAAAAATAATAACTTTTTTTTCGAAAAATCTTCTTTTCTAAAAATCTGGTTTTTTTAACGGAAAAAAAACTATTTTCCCTAACAATTAAAATATTTTATAACAAGATTACGGTTAATCTCTTTGCCCTGAATCAATATATACACACTCACATATAATATGAATCACAAATTATGTTCCAAGGTAAATAGTTTGTTTAACGGTCAGATATATTTATAAAATTTTACAGTTATATTTAGAAACCGAAAAATTTCACGTGAACAGGTAAATAAAAAAAAGAGTTAATAAAATTATATATTTTTTAAATTTGTTTCCTATTCAGTGAATTTCAATTTATTTCAATCCTTTCAAATTCATTTCATTCAACGATTTTTTTTTTAATTAATTCCATTCATTGAATTTTTCAATTTATTTTTCCATTCAAATGATTTCTAATTTTAATTCACGCTCAATATAGAAATTTATAATTCAATTTGTCAATAAAGAATTGCATTTGGAGAAAAATAAAAACAATCTAATTAAAACTTCCTTATCAAATTTTAATTAGAAAATAAAAATTTAATTTAAATTTGCTTATCAAATTTTAATTAAATCATTCTCGATTTAAATCATAAAACACCAAAAATGAATAAATAAAAAATAATAAATTAATTAAGTCAAATCAAATAATTATTAAGCATATAAAAAAGAAATGTAAAAAATTATAAATTACAATTTATTAAAAATACTTTCTCATTGTGATGGGAATGTAAAATAAATTAATATTTATCAAATCTTATAAATCAAGTTCAAAGTTACGATATAGAGGAAAAGAAATTAGTTGCAAGTTTACATGAAAAAATAAAAGTAATTATGTCCTTATCATTGTTGTCTATATGAAAAAAAAATCTAAGGATCATGTTTCTTCTAAATCATGAGTATTAACAATTAGAAAAAAAGTGAAAAAAAACCTGCAAACTCATATATAATGAAAGTAATTAGAGACAAAATATACGTCAGACGATTGTTGAAAAAGATTAAGGCATTAAGGCCAGGCCGTGTGTACAACTCATAACAAAAGCAACGAGATTATATCATCTTTCCGGTAAAGCATCTTTGAAGCAGAATCTTAATTTTTCAATCATTGATTCTCCGAGAATTTTAAATTTGCAAAAAAAAAAAAAATGTTCTACTTTTAATTAATAATTAACAATTAACAATTGGTTAACGATTCGTCATTGGTAGTAGCAATTAATGCTATTAACAAGTAACGCTAATAACTTTATTAGCTTTATTTAACTAAATTTCCAACTTTTAAAATATTGGAAATTTATTGTAGCCTTTGATCTAATTTGTTCATAAAAATAACTCATCGATTAATAAAATACAGAAAAATTCACTATCCTTATTTAATTATTATTAATTACTTAATAAATTAATTTCCAACTTACTAAATAAATAAAAACGAATAAAATTATGTAGAAAAATTCACTATCGTTATTCAATTATTATTAATTACTAAATTGATTTCTAAATTTCCGAATAAATAAAAAAAATGAAATTATTATAAATAAAAAATTATTTATTGCTCCAAATAACTGAGTTTTTATTGTACAATAAAAATAAATTATACTTTCAATTATATTTTAAATTTAGAGAGAGAGTGAATAGAATATATCTTTTTTTAAACAGACAGCAGTGAGTAATATAAACAATAGTATACACTCGATTCTCGTTATAACGACGATCTCGGGACTTCAAAATCTCGATATTACGACGAAAGGAGAGGATCCTACTTCACGTTCTATTCAAACGTCAAATACGTGCTAAATTTTTCGTAAAGTATGTTTATTTATATTAAAAGTTTTTGAATTATGAAATCAGTTTAAAGAAAAAGTAAGTATTTTTAATAATAATCGGATCACTAGATTCTTTAGGTTAAATAAATTTAAGAGTCGATTAAATTTATCGTTTTTTTTGAGTTAACCAAAATTTTGGTTAAATTAAATTCTTAAATTCGTTCGTGTTTTTTTTGTCGTTGTATCGAGAGTTTTAATGTTCGTTATAACGAGATTCGTTATAACAAGAATCGAGTGTACATACAAAATAATTTCTTACTAAATAATTAAATAGCATCGATCATTTAATATTTAATTCCAATCACGTGCGAGTTTACTGAACCGAACAACTCGGTACCTTGTAAGGTTATATGAATACTACAAGTGGTCGACGTACATTTTCTAGTGTAAATCTTTCTGAGCTCTTGAACTTTGAACCGAGAACAACTATAAACTGTCAGTGTCAATGTCTTTCCGGACCTTCCACAAATATCATTAAATTTTTATTCACTCCAATCTCCCGAAAATAGTTCAATTTTTATTCAAATGGAAAATTTCTAGCAACCCTTTCACGAATTTCTTTCGCAAATTATAGAAATTATTTGATTTCTAACAAAAACAACAACAAAAACAATAATAATAATAATAATAATTTCCTTAAAATTTGGTACTTTCAAATAAACGAACTAAAATATTTTCAAAATTTACTAAAATAAAATTAAAAAGAAAATAAATTGAAAGTTTAATAGAAAGGAATTAATTTCCTTTAAGAAAGAAATATTTTCTAACAAAATTCAAATTAACAACAAATAAATAACAAAATTAACGAAATTTAAAAAAATTGTCGACAATATGAACTTTTGAATCTTCAGGGATAATAATAATAATAATAATAATAATAATAATAATAAAATAATAATACAAGAATAATAATAATTAATTAGTAATTAATTAATAATTATTAATTATAATAATAATTATTATTTTAATAAAATAACTGGGTACTAACGTTACGTTCTAGCACGAAAAAGGAAAAGTTGAAATAAAAAATAATTAATAATAATATATTAGCAATAAATCCTCGAGATAACATTACAGTTACATAATTGTTCTAACTAGTAAAATTAATAATCTTAATGAATGAAATAGGTTATCAAACCGAGCTCGCAATAAATTATTTAACACTCATTTTCAGCACTGGCCTTGATTAAGTTTGAAACATTCAATCTAAACAAGAATTTTTTTTTAATACATCTATAAATTATTTTTTCATCTATTATGAGCGAATAGATATTTCTATTAAGATAAGAAATCAATTATTTTCTATGTGAAGTAATATTTCAAACTAATTTTCGGATCGACTTCAGTAAATAATTGACTTTATTTAAATTTTAATCTTTTTTGGAAAAAAAATTGCGAATTAAAAATTAAAATTAAAAAAGTAAAACATTGTCTCATGATATTCCGTATTTTATCGCGTAGTAAATTCATGGGAATTTTAATTAGTAATGATAACCCCCATTAGATAGTTAATAAATTAATTTAAAGAGTAAATTTAATAATTTATTTTAATTAAATGAAAAAAATAGGTTTGTAAAATAATTTATTGACGGATATTTTAGGCCGCTATTTTCCACGTATGGTAATTAGTCAATTTTCAAAAATATAAGTGAGGTACTAAACAATTTTAAAATATATCTCTAGTTATGAATATAAATTCTAGGCCAGCGAAAACGAAAGGATGCAGATGCAGACGCCAACGATGGTAATTTTTCATGCTATAAATCAATCGAGAGACAGTCTTGTCAAGGTGCAGGCAATAAACCACAAAATCTTTTCTATTGAAAAAAAATTCGATTCCCCGTAATCTCAAAAAAATCGATAATTCTTAATATTGTTTTCAAGCAAAGAAAAATTAAATTTCTTCCAGGAAAATTTAAATATTCAATTCTGAAGATAAGATATTAAATTTGGTTGAGGGCATAAAATAAAAATAACAAAAAGAATCTCGACTGATGAACGTAATTAAGTTTACTTCCTTTGTAATAATTAATTAGAATTTACGGAAGTAAGAAATTAAGGTAAGCATAACGACTATGGAGAAGAATTATTCGAAAGATCACCGCCCGGGATAATTAATTTACCAGAACATTCAGAAGTATGTAATTGTAAAACAGAAGAATATATACAATTCACAAATAAATAACCTGACTATGCCAATGTGGCATTGACGCGAGTTGCATAAGTAATTGTCATTTTAAATAGAGCTCCATAGTATAATAGACAATAGATTTGCGTTCGTCAGTTACATAAGACGCTGTATCAAAGTATAATACAAATTTTCAGATGATAGTCTACGATAAATGAATGACATATGAAATATATGAAATGTACATGATTCACAGTCAGTGGTTGAATACGTCAGACAATTTTTTTTTTGGCACTTGAAAGGGCGCCGCAAAACACAAGAGGTTATATTAATTCAACGGGATGAAATTTAACCTGTCGGTGAACGTCACCGCTAGAATTTTATTATTGCGAAGGTGTGCGTCGTGCACAATTTTCTCATTAGTTCCGCTCAACTCCAAAGCCTTCGTCATTTGCAATTTTTTTTTCTCTTTATTTTTTCTAATTCTTACACAATTAAAGATTCTGAATTTCAAAGTTTGAAACTAGTTTCAAAGTACTGAATAACGTATTTCGGTATTTGCTATTTGGTCATGTGTTTTAGTTTTTTAAAAAAAATATCCAAGATGTTTAATGAAAATTTTTAAAAAATATATACACATACCTTCTCTTTCGCTCTACCTGCATGTTTTTGCATTGTCTTCGCGATCAACGCACCTTTACTCTCAGCCATTTTTATTTTCCTTCCAATGATGACAATTAAAACACAATTCCCTTTGTTGATTTTGGCTATTTGACACAAAACTTTAACTTGATAAGCCGGCTACTTTTCTTATCACGATTAAACTGTATTGAAACCAAGTTCACTGAATGAAGCGCGAGGAGAAACTGGAAATGCAGCAGGGCATGTGGCGGCCATTTTGATTTTTAGTTCGGCAACTGGCCGATGGTGGCAGCAGTGCACGGCTCGAGTTGGCAGCACTGCGAAATTCAAAATACTGAAAAAAGAAAACTGTAAATTATATATTATTTATTTATTAAACAAAAGTTTTTATTCATTTTTATTAAAAATTGTTATTAAAATAGTAATGCTAACAGTTATTTGTAAAATATTGTAGTAAATATAAAAATTATGTAATTAACGATGAATATTATACACGTGAAATTAGTTTAACTGTGTGAACATTGTTTACTTTAAAAAAATAAACAGTTAATCAATTGTTGACTAATGTTCGTCGTGAAAATACCGGAAAATTGACATCAAGTCTCGGTTTTTACGTATTTGATGAATATATTGATAACATCATCCACATGTAAGTGTTAATTTTATACTATTTATTAATTATTATCAAAAATCAAAATGAATAATCGATTTGATCATTCTGACAAAATTGTTCGATTTATAGGTTAGGTTAACTTACTGTCAATTTTAATATTAATAAATAATATTTTATAAAAAAAAACATTTAGTTACAATTACCAATTAGAGTATATTTTTATTTTAATCAAACAATATTATTTAAGTCTTTATTAATTTGTTGTATTTTTATTAATTATAATATTTGCCCTTAATTGAAATTCAACACAATTTTTTTTTGTCAAAAATATAAAGAAAAAAGAAGGACAGTAATAAAAGAAACGGAGTATTTTCACTAAAATAAATTTATTACGTAAATATCAAATTCAATGAAAATATTAATTTCTAACAAAAACATCTTCTATTTCTTGTCCAATCTAAAAACTATAAATTAAACAAATTTTTTCGAAAAATATTTGCGAAGAAAAGAAAACCTGTCATTCTACAAATAATTTATTAAAAACTGAAATATAATTATATATATAATATGTGGACAAGAAAATCAAAGAGTTAGTATACAAAAATCAAAGATCATGCCTATATAAGTTTTGAAGGAAATAATACAATATTATTTTATATATATATAATTATCGATATAATTTCTACAAGACGATTAGAGGTATAACAACCGCAATTAAGTACAGATAACAGATTCATTGATTTGTAAATTGATTTTATTAATAAATTATTTTTTCTTATTTTTGTGATGAAGATTTACTCAAAAATAAACAAATGTTTTTTTTTCTTTATGATAAAAAATCCACTTTTAACAACAGAACAGACAGACAATATTATGTATATACGAATTTTTAAAGTTTTAACTAAGATTGTAGTTTAAAAACATAAATTCTTTTCTTTCGATTAAATTATTTAAATGGTCTATCCAAAATCACAATTGACAAAAGTTCTTTTATCTTGCTTTTTTTGCTGTGAGAGCGAAGTGCGCGGAATAATTTTCATATATATTTTGTTTTTTCTTTTTGACAAATACATTTTTCCGCGCGAATCGCAATTACAATATTCACGAATTTACAGATTTAGACCTCTGTACACGTCTCATTTATTCACTGTACCTAATATAAATTTGCATTTTTTTTAGTCCTGGAAAAATTGGATAAGGCCATAAACCAATCTGGCGGCATTAATAATATTGCGCCAGGGTACTTGATCTTCTACCGCAAATTGTTTTTAAATTTTTTTTTAGTTTTATAATTATTTTTTTGTTACAAAAAAATTAACCTTTCTTTAAACTCGCATTCTTTGAAACATTTTTCTTGTTTTCATCCATCCCATTCTTACATACGGTCATAATTCTCTATGTTTTCTTTTTTGTTTGTCCAAGTCAAGTTTCTCGTAACGTCAGTCACATACAATTAGTTGCGTTTTTAACGTTTATAATAAATCCGCCGCATTTATATATTTTTTTATAATAGGAATAAATTTTTTTCGAATACTTTTAGTCGGTCTGCCCTTATAATTATAAATTTTTCTCACTCTTCAATTACCATTTCGTAATCGTTGTGAAAGCATATATATATATATATATTCAAACATTTGTTTCTTTAAAAATCATAAGAATCATAATTTAATAATAGTAATAATAATATAATAATATTAATAATAATAATATTAATATAATAATAATTAATAATGATCATCATTGTCGTCAATAATTACCTTCACGCGTTACTCAATGTAATACACGATTAGCTCTCTTGTGATTTTTCAAGACAGAAAGTAAAGACTGGAATATTTGTTGATTATGTTAGTTTTTTCTTTTTTTGATTTTTGTATTTAGAAGAAACTTAAAACGTAAAAAAAAAATTGTTTGCAAAACAAAAAAGTAACGAAAATATTTGTTTAAAAAAATATTTGATTGCACTGTTTTACAATTTATTGGAATCTGTTATCTGTACATTGCCTAGTGGATTTATCGATAAAATTTTTTTTATTTTCACGAAAAAAATACTTATTTAAAAAAAAAAAGCTTTTTACAACCATTGTCTACATTTTTTTCTTTTATACATATATATAAAATATATATACATATATGTAGAAAAGAGAAGAAAAAATCTGATATTTAGCCTTGGACCCAGACTTGATTTTCTTAATTAATAGTTATTTCTTTAATTTCTGTCCTAAAACTCACAGCGACATAATGCTTTTTTCAAATTGTTGGTGTAAACCTGTACAAAAGTTGTTCTTTTTTTTTACTCTATACTTATTAAATGGTACAATAATAATGTATTTAAAATGTAACTTATGTAATCTTATTACTGATTAACGACGGCTGCATTCCAGCATGACCAGCCTTTGGCCGACCGAAGCTAACAGACAAATGCGCTCCATTCAAGTGTAAAACTCTTGCTTGCCTTCCCGAGTTCATCAAATATTGTTTTTTCTTTTTTTTAAATCTTTTTTCTCCTAACTCCCATACACTCACACACTATGCAACACCTCTAATTCTCTAACTATATACTCTATATAAAATATCGTTAGTATAACTAAAACGTGTTGGGTCTAGCTGGAATGCAGGCCCCTATTTTTTTTATGCCTTTTATATCCGTTGTTCATCTCTCACTTCGTTTTTTTTTCAATTCTTGTCTCAAAAAACAGTTTTCAGTCAATGATTTTTTCTCTATTTTTTTCTCACTCTCTCGTTCTCTTTCTCTCTTTTTTTACTAATAAAATCACACCACTAACTGTACTGTCATTGGTCGGTCAATAAGTTTGATTCCCAGCTGTTCACTCGGCGGCGCAATCATTGTTATTATTTATACGAAATTTTACACACTCATTCGACAGTAGCGAAAAACCTTAATCTTGAATTTCTAATTTTCCGGTTCTCCACCATCTTCATGTTTTCTCTTTTTACCTCGAGCTGGAGACGATTCTGTTAGATACGAAAATTCATTTTCTCAATTATAAAATGTGAAAGATTCTTAACTCTCTCATTGTTAAATTAATTAATTAACAATTATAATGCAATTAATAAATTAATATCTAGTTAATTAAATTATTTAATTCATTTCTAGTTAATTAAATTATTTATGTAATTTCCAGTTAAGTAAATTATTTAATTAATTTATAGTTAATTAAATTATTTATGTAATTTTTACTTAATTAAATTTTCAGTATGTAATTAAAAAAAAAAGAAATCAATGAAAAATTATTTTCATTGGTCCAATTATCTAATAAAAAGAAGTGTTTGTCCTGTTAAAAAAATAGATATTTCTGAAAAGTACAAAAACTCACCTTCTTCTTGCTCTTGATCTTCTTCATCGAAATCTTCATCATCATCATCGTCTTCCTCCTCCTCGTCTCCCTCTTCGTAATTCTCTTCATCACTGTCGTCCTTTTAAAAAATACAAAAACTTTTGTAAAAAATTTGAACTTTTGAAAAAAATGTTTCTTAAAACTTCGGTTTATTAACAATTTACTCTTTTACTTACTTCTTGATCTTTGTAAATCTCTGCCAATCCTATATCTTCATCGAAGATCTCATCATCTTCCTCGTCAGAGACTGAAACAATAGGAATTAAAACTTTTTTTAAATACTAAACAAAAAATAAAAATTCAGTAGAACAGTAAAAATTGAAAGGATAAAATTTAACACAAGATAAAATTTTTAATTTTGAAAAATTTTACACTTTTTTTCAATTTTATCGAAAACTTTCAAAGTCTTTACCTTCTTCACTGTCTTCATCGACATTTTCATTTTCGTTTCCATTGACTTCGTCGTCCTCTCCTTCACTGTCGTCTACCTCACAATCATGTACATCAAATCTGTTTAAGAAAAAAATCATTAAGAATTAATGATTTTTAATAAACACTTTTTGTCAATTTTAAAAAAATTTGCAATTAAAATAATTAACAAGAGAGTAAAAAATAAACTGTAAATTTTTTCAATTTTACACAACTTACCCATCCAAATATCGTAGACTCGGAATAAGACTGAAAACTTTCTCCCTGTAATTATCCATATTTGTTGCTTCATTGTTAAAGAGGTCCAAGCTTTTCAAATTTTTGAATTCTTTCTGTAAAACGAAATAGAATTTTGCTTTTATATTTATATAAATTAAGTAAATTAAATTAATTATATAAATAATATATTAAATTAAAAAAATATTTATGAAATAAATATCTAATAACATTAAATTAACTGCAATAAACATATAATAAAAATAATAACGTGGATCGAGTTCACAACGTGAATTCAACGATTCAGCAATATTTTTCATTACAAATTTTTATGTTTTGAATGGTTGATTAAATATTACGTTTTTCGACAAAAATTTGAATAGAAACAGAAAATAAAGAAAGATGTTTGTTGAAATATTTTGTTTTGGAGAATTAATTTATTAATTATAATAATTCAAGAGAAAGAAATATTTGAAAAAGAAAATTTTTTTCTATTAAGTCGTTGATTATAAACGTTGTGAACTTGATGAACGTAGACAATATGGAAATTGTATATAAAATATTGTAAATTTCGAGAATAAACTTACAAGAGGCTGTAGCGTATCCAAATCCTTAATTTTGTTCCCACTGAGGTTTAGATGAGTCAATTTAGGGCTCGTGTGAAGAAAATTCAAACCACCAGAGATTCGATTGTCACTCAACTCCAACTGTAAATTTCAATTTTTCTTTTAGTTTCAAAACCCAGATAGAATAAAAGTAAAAATTTTAAAAGTTCTCGTCTACTAACCTTCTTAAGATTCGGTAATTTGGGGAAACCTTTTAAACTTGTAAGGCCCACATTGATAAGACTCAATTTTTCCAAAGCTACATATTCATCTGTCAGTCCAACAATATTTGTACTCCGACAATTGTCCAAAACAAAATCTGTAATCTGAAACAAATTTTACAAATATTAGGAAAATTGCTCATAGAAAAATTTGTCGAATTTAATTATAAAAAGAAAGGTTTATTAATAATTACACAGAAGAATAATATTTACGCAAATGAACAATATTTACGCAAATGAACAATATTTACACAAATAAATAATATGTAATGATAAAAATAGCTCCAGGAAAAAATTAAAAAACGAAAGAAACAAAAGTTCCGTAACTAGAACACTAAAAATCAATTGTCAGTCTAAAAAAAAAATTTAAGTACTGCACCAAATTTTTTTTTTCCAAGGCACCTCATAATGAGCTATCAGTTTCAATTGTCATGGAAACAATAGTTTAAAGGTCATTTATACAATCAGATCTTCAAGGTTGCATGTTAGACTATCGATATTCTCTTCTCAAATAAAATACACGCAATTGCAATGATTTTTATTGACCCATTTTTTTTAAAACAAGTTTCCATCTCCTTTGAAAAATGCATCAATCCTAAAAATAAGCGTGTGAGAAGGAGAGTCAACAAGTGGTGTGAGATAAAAGATAAGAGAGTTTAAGAAATTCTTTTTTCATTTCGTGAAGAATTCTCTCACGTGTTGCGTCATCCCTTCGTTCCCTCGGTTCCCTCCAATAACGAAAATAAAACGGAAGTGTCTAAAAATGCATAATTATAACAGTCATCCATAAAATGACAGTTATCTCTTTTCAAATGGCGTTAAAATTCAAATAAGGAAGGAGAGAAAGAGAGTGAGAGAGATTTGCAGGAGATGGGCTATTTTATTGATCGAAGGAAAAGTAAGGTAAGGGAGTAAAGTGACGAGAAAGAGAGACAGAGTGAGAGAGAGGGTTTTGCTGTAGCATTAGGCGGGGAAATATGTATATAGAGTTTTGTGACGATGCAGAAAAGGAGGGGACACAGGAGCGTACGGGATCCGTGTCTTGTTTAGCGACATCGGGTAAAAACTACCGAGAGAGCGACAAGTAGTGACTGCGGCACGCGACAGGTCCGAACTTGATCAGTTCAAAACCCGTGGTTATCCCACAAATCGCTTTCACATCGACGCGATGTGCATCCGCGCACTTTAATCTTAGATAGGCTGCCCGACATTTCTACCAAAGGATTGGTCACGTCGCGCAAACCACAATCAACATCTGAATCGTAATTTTTTCATTTTTCAAACAATAATTAATCACTTCTAAAAAAATCATAAATCAAAATTTTCACTCAAATAGCATTTTTCAAGTCAAACCTCCAAATGTCAGAATTTCTACCTTACCGACACTTCCATTAGTTCATCATCAATTAAAATTTACAAAAAAAAAACCAAATAAAAAATTCAAACTCCCTAAAGCGAAAATAAATAAAAATGCACTTTTAAAAAACTGTCAAATTTTGCTTCCGCTACAAATCTTTGTTTTGTAAAAATCCAAAAAGTAGAACTATAATTTAAAAAAAAGAGAAATTACAAGAAACAATACATAATTTAAATATAAAAATTAAATTGTTTAAAAAAAATAAGATTAAAAATAATTTGATTGAGATAAAATATTCAGCTCTCATTGAATAAGTGATGAGGTTAGGAATTTGTGGAAGGCGAGAAAGAATTTAAATAAAATATGGTTTTCCTACGGCCCTGCAAGGTGGTAACAGTTATGGGACATGTTTTGCGGCGTGTAGGGGGTGGATCAATGACAATCACAGGTCAACGAGAAACTCTCCTTCCTCTCAGAGTGTGAATCCCTTCCCACTGATTTAACCCTTCTCTCTAAAGTAATCCCATAAAAAATGCTCAAGTTCACACGATGCGACAGAATATCCCCTATTCATGATTCAAATTCCATCCAATCACTTAATTATTCAATATAAAAGTAAATACAAATCTTTTGAAAAATGTGTCATTGTTTTGAAATAAATATCCCGAAAAAACAAAAATTAAGGCACCGTTCATCTAATCACGCCCCTGATCAACTTAGAAGATTCTAAATTCTAATTTTCGATTCAAAATTCTCCTATTAAGTGCATATCATATTTTTAATTTTAAAAAATAATTGGTCAATAAAAATTTTAAAAATTGGTATTTATTTTTACTTTTACGTTTTTTTCAATTAAAAATACAAAGTGAAGAGTTAAATGCGTGTCACTTGGCGCCAAAGTGGACTCGTCCAAGATGGCAACGTGGGTTGAAGCGACAGGTAGGGGGAAAGTTTATTTCCAGAGGGGAAAAAAAACGATAACACAATAAACACAAAGTAGCTAAATGAAAATTTAAAAATAAAACACAATTTTTTTTAAGAAAAAGCACTCATAAAAATGTTGAATAATTACGTGAATATTATATATCCCCCTGTAAACATGATAAACGCGCACACCGGTTGCAAATGGTGTTTGTTATGCGCAACTCCCACGGTGGCATCTCACACAGCCTCTCTTCTCAACACGCACCACCATCCCCCTTGCACAGATTCTAAACGTTTCAAATTAATTTACATAATATACCTCGTGGATAAAATTCTTCACGGAACTAATGCCAACTTGTAATCTTCACTTTCTTTCATTTGGCGTCTTGTCAACAATGGCGTCCAGAGGGGGAACGAGAGATGGGAACAAAAAAAGAAAACATCGCAATAATGCCGGTATTCGGACCTTTTTTTCGGAGTAACAAATTCAATGACTAGTAAATATTATTGAAAACAGAAACAAAAAGCATTTGGAAATTCTCATAAATAAAATAAAAATTACCTAATTATCAATGAAAAATAGAGATTTTTTTTTTTAATTTAATAAAATTGTTATTAGAGTAAATGAGTAAAGTGTAATCGGGGGAATGACCTGTAAGTTCGAAAGATTGTGTCCTTGACCCAATAAAAATATCGATTAGGAAAAATTAAATCGATTGATTTAGGTAAAAGGAGAATATTTGGAACATATTTAAGAGTGTACACGCGATTAAGTAATCGAAGTTAACGATCGAGGCAGGTGCGGGGAGTGGATACGATATGTCGGCTGATGGTTGCTCCGAGTGCATATGTTTTCTCAGGGCTTGATAAAAAGCGAAGGAGCGCGCTGCCTAAACAAAAATGCAACTAACGACCTATTCAAACTCTCATCGAAAATACACATTAGGAAAAAAAATCATTCACTAGAATAATTCATCCAAAAATAAAATTTTTCTACAAAAAAGTCAAATTCAGTTCAGATTGATCAGAGTTCGATAATGGATGGCGATGCAGTGTAACTTCACATGGCCACGCCGTAGGCACAATATTTGTTTACAAAAGTTTTTTTTCGCGCACTAACACAACCGCTACTTCAGCCAATTATCAATTTAAAACAAGTTTTTAATTTTTTTTTTATTCGATCGCCGATCGAAACTTTCTAATTTCATTTTATCAAAATCTGGTAATTTGAAAAAATATAATGACAGTTTTAATAAAGGGAAGATAAGCAAATGAAGAACTTGACTGATAAGAAAGTCAATTAAAAGCAAATCACACATGATCGTTTCATTAAGAAATATGGGCAAAGAAATATTTCGAATTATCAGATATAATTTCCGACATACGATGGCGTTCCTGAGATGGTGTAATATAAATTAATTCATGAACTAAAGACCAAAATTAATAAGAAATGTGAAAGAAAAGTAAAAAAATAGAGAAAATTGGTAATAAAATCGATTCATTAAATTGTTTAATGCAACCGGTAATAATGAGCATGAGTGTGATTAAATCCTAGAATGTCGGCTGTGTTGCGACGTTGCATGCGTGAAGCCGTCGACAAATTTCGGTCGCGCTTTTAACGGAGGAAGCGCCCCGCGTCGAGAAAACAAGACATGCTTTTCATGAAAGGAAAAAAAATCCAAATACCTAACACGATCGCCAAGTGTCATGAGAAGACATATAATTCGGATCATTGTTTCCAAAGCACGCCATGCCTTTTTTTCTAGCGAGCTTCATCCCGTGTCGGCAATGGGACGGCTTTTTTTTCCCCTTTCAAAGAAATTCGTTCTTATCACGCGATGAAAACAGAGGTATCACACACTCAATTTCCCGAAAACAAATCGAATTTAATTTTTTCAATAAATTTACACTTGATAAAAAATTTTAGTATCACACCATGAGGACTTTTGAAAAAAAACGAATAAGTTTGCTTTCAAAGATGAATCGTGTCGAGAGAGAATTTGAAAAATCAAAATACTTACTTCGTTGGGTTTCCTTCCCCGTTTCTCGAGTTCTATCCGCTTTTCCATGGCCGGTGAATTCTTTTCAGCAACTTGAAAAACCGATCACTGCACCTTGCTGCGTCGCAGTAATTGCTTTCAAACCGGGAATATGACGGACGGGACGACCACGATCGGCCACCAGTCGAACAGAACAGTACAGAGCCACCACCGTATGAAGCCAACTCAACGACGGTTCGATTCTCGCTAAACCCTTGCACACCAACCCAACCAACTAGTAAATGGCAAGCAAATGGCGGGGCCCCCACATGACAACAACCTTCAAAGCGGGAAAAGTTAGACATGTCTGGTTCCACTTTCAATATTGACCAATCAGAGCCCTCCGTTCCTCGCGGGTCTCTAGTTCATCCGCCATCTGTCGGACAATCGCCATACTTGTTAGTTAACCGGGAAAATATTACTTTTCAAAAAAAGAATAATTAAATAAATAATTATTAATAATAAATTAATCTTTTCTTCAAGAAATTAATAATTAATAAAAACAAAACTATTTGATAACATTAGAAAATGTTTTCAATCTCATTAAATTTCATTTTATTAATGTTTAAAATATACTATCGATTTCGGAAGTCACGTGATCATTTTTCCCGCAATTTTAATCTCGAAATTGTAAAATTTTTAACCTGCTCTGTAAACATTTTTTTGACAACATTAACAAACAGTAATAATTTCATTGCAGATGTAAATGGATGTAAATAACAATAATGGAAAAACTGGAGAGTGAGATTAGAATGGAAAACAATTTGTGAATCTTTTTGACACTTTGATAAATGATATGCAGAGAAAACAAAGTAAGACAAAGCAACAAAGTTATCAATAAAAGTCAAAAATGAGGTTAAAACGTCTGAAATAGTGGAAATAGTTGATGACCGTTAATGAGAAACATGAGAAAAATAATGGAAACAGTAATGAAATTAAAAAAGGTCATTTGTCTTGGACGCAACAGGTATTTAAATTCATTTATTATGCATTTTAGTATTTTAATTTAGTTGATGAATTTCCTTCTTTTTTTACGTCTTTAGAACTTTTCTTCTGGAATTTAACAAACTGAATTTTATTTTAACTCAGTTTTACATAATTTTTTCTTATTTATAGTAGGTAATTATAATTAAATATTAAATTCAATAATATTTGGGAATTATGCTTATACTAATTGTTAAAAGAATAAAATAGAGGAGAAAAAATTATAGTTTTTCGTAAACATAACCTCTTTTGTCAAAACAAAAAATGTAAACAAAAAGATCGGTGGAAATTTAATTCGAAAATTACTTGGGAAGTTTTTAATGAGGGAGTGTAGAAAGAAAGTCAAAATAATAATAAATATTTTTACTGTCACAATTTCAACAAAAATTAAAGAAAAAAGGAATAATAAAAAGATTAAAATTTTAAAAATATATAGCAAATATTTTTAATATTACAATTATTATATTAAAAAAAGTAATAATAAAAGGAATTAAAATTATTTTAATTTATTTTATTTAATTTAATTCTTTATTTTTTTATTATTTATTTTTTTAACTAAAATGAAATTAATTAAATTAAATTAAATGTAATTCTATAAATTACAATTACAATTGAAAAATAATTGTACAAAATGTTTTTGATAAATATTTTCTTAAAATTATTTTCAAAAATAATTTTAGCTATTACTTATTAATAAATATTTTTTTACAAAATCTGTTTAATAATTATTTTTTTTAGATATTTTTAATCAACATCTTTAAAAATATTTTTAATTATTATTTTTAATAAATATTTTTTGCAAAATCTGTTTAATAAATATTTTTTAAACATATTTTTATTCAATATATTCAAGACTATTTTTAATAATTATTTTTAATCAATATTTTTTTACAAAATAAAATTTTTTTAATCAATATTTTTGAAAAGGATTTTTAATATAGATTTTTAATTATTGTGTAACTAAAGAAAAATATTGAGAATAACAACAATTAAATTAGAAAAAAACTCTTCCGTATAACTATTTAATTATCAAATCAAATTTTCATTTTAAATGCATTCGTTTAGGGAAAAAAATGAAACCAATCACGCGGGACAAAATAATAATTTGAAATTTCTCTCGCTTCTAATTTTAATTAACATAACTTTTATTCAGGAATTTGCTATACTCTTTTTCCGAGAATAGACGACTACCTCCGAACTTTTAAGTCACGTGTGCTTCTCCGTAACTTTTTTCTCCTAAATCTTCGAATTTTAATCAATGAAATTATAATAATAATAATAATAATAATAATAATAATAATAATAATAATAATAGTAATAATAATAATAATTACTAATAATAATAATGAATAATAATTAACAATATTAATAATTAATTATAATAATTAACAATATTGATAATTAATAATAATAATTAAAATAAATAATTAATAAATTACTACAAAATAAAAATAATAAAAAATTAAATACGTCTAAAAATACAGAATAGTTACTATACATATTTCCAAAAATATAAAAAATAGTATTTTTCTTCAATTTACATTCATTAGAAAAATATAAACAAATTAAAAAATATTTGATTAATTTTCTAATTTTGAAAAATAAATTCCTTTCCAAATGAAAATAAAAATTAAAAATCAATTTTCTCCTTTTTCTGTTACGTTTTTGTTTTATATGCAGTTGGAGTGCAAGATGCGCAATCGCAATATTATATTATTACTCTATAGATATATGTATAGGCATTATTTAGTTTTGAATAATCCGCCCCTGAAGGTGTAGTATCTGCGAGGGGTTGTGATCAATATATATTGCTCTAATATATCTATATGTTGGGGTTCTCTTCTCGGTTTTGCTATATCGATGTTGAAACAGAAAACGCGAAACTTACATGCATTCGTATTATTTTTAAAATACTTCACCGTCGCAAATTATATCATCTTTCTCTTTCTCTCCCTCTCTCTCCCTTTCACTATTACTTTCAATATATAGCCGAAACCATTCGCAAAACTTACAATTTCAATTGAACTCTAAAAAATTTTTTTCAATCACGTGACAATAATTAAAAACAAAGTTAAAATTAAAAAACAAAAATAAGTAAATTAAAAACCAAAAAAAATTAATTAACACAAAGAAAATTAATGAAAACAAAAAAAAAAATTAATTAAATCAAAAAAAAATAAATGAAAACAAAACAAGTAAATTAGAACATAAAAATTAAACATCCAAAAATATTAAAAAATATAAGAGTGACAAAAATTAAAAACAAAACTAAATAAATCAGAAAACAAAAAAATAAGTTAAAACATCAAAAAATTGAATTTTAAATAAATTAATTAAATTTGAAGATCGAAAAATAGAAAAATAAATCCATTAAAAAATTAGTGCCTAATATTTATAATTACTTACAGACATTTATTTCTATTTATCTATTTATAAAATTAACGCTAAAGAATAAATTATCGATATAAACCTTTATTTAAAAAAATATTGATGTAACACTTACGTATTTACAAGCTACAATATCAACAATGTTTTTTTTATTTTCTTCTTTTTTTTTGAACAGTGTCGTGCGATTTGTAATGGCAAATTTAAAACTGTTCTTAATTTGTAGCATTTTCTTATAAGTACAAATAACAAAACGATTTGTAAAATGATAAATTTTTTTTTTAGTATTAGTAATAAATTCTTAGACATAAACTTTGCTAAAGATTTTTTTTGTTTTGTTTGTTGTTTTTTTCATTTTCACACATAATAAGCCTATTAAAACTCTGAAGCTACCTTTGAACCATATCTTTTTTTTCTTCACAAAAATTGGTGTTTGTACACAACAATCGAATTTTGTTGTTCTTAAATTGTAATACAACAATGTACTACAAATACAACACTAGCATTAATAAAATCTGTACAATAATATAACATTCGAGGTATAGGGCCCTGTTAAATAAAAGAAAAAAAAATTTTTTAGTTGAAGATTTAAATCTTGTCGCAATTAAACTGGAGAGACATAGATTTCAGACTTTTCGATTCTTTTCACTAATTACTGTTCAAAATTAAATTATTTAAAAATTAATTAGAATATTGAAGAGTTTAATTTAAATCAATTAAAATTTTAGTTTAAAAAATTGAATTAAATGAATTAAATTAAAATTTCAGAATAAAAATTCGAAATTAAAATTTAAATAATTTTCATTTGATTTTGACGAAAACATTTTTTTTTTTTTTTTTTTTTTTTGCTCACTGAGTTACGAAATTAAATATAGAAATCAACATATATAGTTAAAAAATATAAAAAAGTTATTGCATTTTTTGAATCACAATCTCGACGACACAAAGTTTATACATATTTTTTTTTGTAAGAAAGATAAATAATTTTATAAAATTTTTTCCTTTTCTTTCTGTCTCAAAACTGTAATAGAATTATATTATGCTGAGTACAATATGCACACTTTTAAAATAATAATTAATTAAATTATTTTTATTATCAATTAACTAGAAATCTCAATGTTTTTCGCGCGCATACAAATTAAACTTTCCATTTTAATTCGAAAAAAATTTTTACAGAACAATCCAAGTGCTGACTTTTAATTATTATATTATACTAACATTAAAAACTAGATTTTTTATTATATTATTATATTTAAACTTTTTTTGTTACTCAAAACATAGGCCCAAAAATTATGCGAAAAAAATTTTTCTACCTTGCAGAGAGTTGTAATTAAGAAATTTTTTTTGTTTTTACATCACAGCTTTTTATAAAAATTGTTTTTTATTTAAAAAAAAAACATTTTGAAACTTGAATAATTTTGAGCAGGACGCATTCGTTTCTATTTTTTGTAAGTTTTAAAATTTAATTTAATTCACTATTTTTTTCTATTTTTTTGGAGAAATATTGTAAATTTTATTCGATGGAGAAAAAAGTTTATATAATACTAAAAAAAATAAATTGGTTGTTAAAGACAAAATTTCTTTTGTTCTACCTCTTAGAGAAACAATTTTAGACAAAAAATTAGATTTTTTGTTTTTCCTTTCGAATTTTAAAAGAAACGTTTTTTTTAATTTGTTTATTAAACACAGTTTTTTTTTGCTCTAAACGTGTTAAATATTTCAAATTTTTTAATTATAAATTATAACAATTGGATTTACTAAACATTTCAAAATTTTAATATTGAAATTTTATTTTTGTAGTTTTCAATATTGAAATTTTAGTGTCTAAAGTTTTTAATATTGAAATTTTATTTTTTTTAATTTTCAATATTTAAATTTTAGTGTCTAAAGTTTTCAATATTGAAATTTTATTTTTTTAAATTTTCAATATTAAAATTTTATTGTTTTAATTTTCAATATTAAATTTTATTTTTTTAATTTTCAATATTGAAATTTTATTTTTGTAGTTTTCAATATTGAAATTTTATTTTTTTATTTTTCAATATTGAAATTTTTTTTCTTTAATTTCTATTTTGAAATTTTATTTTTGTACTTTTCAACATATTATTGAAATTTTTAGTAAATTAATTAATATTACATTAACAATACTAGTATAATAAATTATAAAAAAATAAAATTACTTTTTTTTTTGTCTTTTTTTTTATTTAACAAAAATAGAATTTTTAACTTAATAACATATTTCGAGTGTTTACTTCGAAAACTCTTCTCTATCAGGTAGAAAAAATAGAAAATTGTTAATTAACTATAAATTGGCGATTAATTAACAATTTTCGGACTATTAATAGTGTCTTTAAATTCACTAATTGTTTTCTAAGACAGCTGCACAAAAAATTAAAAAATTTTCAGGAAAATGCTTATAAAATTGATCACATCTCTTTATACTAATTAACGTATCATTGTAAATTTGTTTATGAAAATTAAAATTAATATTTACAAGTTCAAAAGTGGAAAAAATTTTTTTTTTCGTTTTTGAAAATTAAGAATGCGTCTTGTGTTTGAAATAATTTAAAGAGAAAAAAAAATAAGACTAATATAAAGCTCATACTTGAAAATTATTGTTGCTATTGTTTATCTGCTATGGCAGTTGGTTCTACACTAGAACAATCGGATAGCGATCGTTTTCGACTACGAGAGCACTGTGATGCTGTACGAATTTCAATGTGACAAACTGTTTTAGCATTTTCCTTAATTATACTCTCACTGGCAATATTTTTTTTCGAGTTATTTGCAATTTCACAATTATTAATTTTTCTCTTGTGATTTAAATCCTGCTTGGCGGGTGCAACTGATGATCTTGTTTTTCTCGGTTGATAATCAGGCATTGCTTGCATTTTTTCAAGTGCCGCTCTCAATGGCAATAGACCAACGGCAAATGGAATTTCCATACTCGGCGAAGAACATTCCATTGAATCTTTACCATTAATTGCGAGACTAATGTCTGTCATATCACCCCATAGGGCACGATTAACAGTTGCTATTGTATTTAATTGTTGGGCGAAATTCTCCTCTTTTTCATTCTTCACTTTTTCCTTGTCTTCTTTTGTCTCTAATTTTGTTCGTGTTCGATATTTTCCTAATTTCGTTGTTTTGCGTAGAGTTCTATTATGTTTTGTATTTGACACTGTGGTTTCAGAGTGTCGTTTACGTTTTTTCTTGGGAAATATATTAACTTTATTCGTTGAACGTTCCCTGTCGACAATACGAATCTTGTGCTTTTTTGTTTTACCGAGAAAATCGTCGATTGACTCTTCGGATTCTTGTTGACTAAGTCTTACGCTTCTTCGTAAAATTGGCTGTTTTCTTAAACTACAATTCTCGTATTCGGTGAAGAATTCGACTTTTCTTATTTCCTTGTGACTGTCGACTACGTATTGTTTGTCGACGTTGTTTGGAAAAAAACCATTACACAGTTCGTTATCACTATCTATTAAATTGAATTCATTTAGTGTACAACCAACGATTGACTGGATATTTTCACTCGTCAAACTTGAGACATATTCGGAATTTTCAATGTTGAGGGAAGTCTCATCACTCGACGAGTCGTTTAATAAATCGATACTTTTCGTCGTTGGTAATTCTGGTAATAATTCATTGAATTGTAATAAATGATTACGAATTTTATTAATGCTCTTACGTTTCTTGTGTGTGTAAACTTTCAAACATTGTCCAACTTTATTCCCCACGTCTGTACTATCAGATGAATAACGTTCGTCAGTCTCGTCTTGTTGTTGTGACGATTTTCGACTCTCGTCATTTGAATAATCACAGCATTCTTCGTAATTTGTTTTTTCACTCGAATTATCATCTTCATCATCGTCATCTTCCTCTTCATCATTATCGCATTCAATCATTATTGATTCGTTGTCAAGTAACGATTTTTCGTTTTTTAATATTTTAGAAATACGTTCCATTTCATTCGTTGTTGCTTCGGAAATATTTTTATCAATTTCCCCGTAAAGTGTATGTTCTGCTTCGGAATCATTACTAGCACTACAGCATTCCATCGATGGTCCTTTCTCCGATTCAGTGTCACTGATATCTTTAATATCATAACAATCATTGTTGTTTTGTGTATCGGGAATAATCTCCTCGCAATCGCTGTCAATTTCCACTAATTTATTTATAAATTCAGAACCGTCGGTATAATCCTCGAAAATCTTATCACTACTTGAGCCAGTGTTAACTTTTTGAGATTCAGATATCTGCTTAGCTATAAATTCTAATTCATTAACCTGAAACAAAAATTTCCTTAAGTTAATTTGAAAAAGAAAAAGTTTCAATAAAATCAGGGTGTTTACTATTTTTGTTCAACAAAATTCCCGGTTATTTCCCGGCTTTGTCCTAATTTTTCCCATCAAATTTAAATTTATTTGATTTCGAACATAAATAAATCTAGAAATGGCTTCCAAAATTTGTATTAGAGTTTTTATGAACGAGTATTGACGAGTTTCTATAAATTTTTTGAAAATAATTTTTTTTAAAAATAATTTTAATTAAAACTTTGGAAAATAATTAAATTAAACAAAGAATTTTAATAAAATTTTTAATTAAATAATTACATTTTTCGGGGAATTCGATTAAAATTGTATTAAAAATAATTGGAATTCTGGCAATGAGTTTAACTATTTATGAAAATAATTGAATATATACATATTGCGAAGAAATTTTTAAAAATAAAATTATAATTACGGTGACTAATTCACTGGATTATTTTCGAAAAATGTAAATAAAATTCTTTAAAAAAATTAAATTATTTTTAATAGAATGTAAAGAAATTTCAATTATTTGTTTATAAAAATTCAATTATTTTGAAAATAATAAATAATAAAACTTTTTTTAATTAGGTTAAAGAAAATTCCCAGTTTGGCATAAAATTCCTGGCTTATTCCCTGTCAAATTAAATTCCCGGCTATTTCCCAGTTTTCCCGGTTAGTAGACATTAAAAGTACTTGGAAGTTTCTTACTTTGAACAGTCTTGCCGCTATCAGCAGAGAAGGTAAATATTTTTGTGAGATAGTAGTTTCCCCGCAGTACATAAACTCAACCATCGCTTTTAATACTTCAAAGTTCAAATCTTTGAGAACTATAATTGGCTCTTGACCAAGATCTTGTTCCAGCATCTCCTAATAAAAGAAAAATCAACAATTATATCATTGATAATATGTAACAAATTTCATTTTCTTTTTCCCTACATTTACGTTCGTCATCTAAAAATAGATTTCACTAAATTTAGAAATTTCAATTTCTCATTCTCCTATATCGTATTAACAAAAAATTCTTACTTTTACATTTTTTTTTATAAATTTTACACTTTTTTATCTGTAAAAAAAATAGACAAAGGCGACTTGAAAGGGAAAATTAAAATATTGTATCTTTTTTCGAACTGGTGATATAATACAGGAAAGTGTGTAACATACCTCAAAATATAAACTGCACGATGCTAAAACCAATTTATGAACCCGTAATTTTTGCTCCTCACAAATAAGTGTCACATCAACGAGTGCCTGACGTGCCAATAATCCACTAAATCGTTCTGTGACATATCCTGCATGTCCATCCCATTGCAGGACAAATTCCTTCTCGTTCTCTCCCATCGCTATTTTATTTTTCAATACAAAACAGAATTTTATTTCAAAATAAAATAGGAGAAAAAAAAGAATCCTCATTATGTAAATAATTAATTTTTAGAAAGCGTTTTTTAAAACGTTCCTTATTACAGTATCCATATTATTGTTTCTTGAAATATATTTATGGAAAAAATTGATAGTGAAAATGGAAAAAATTGATTTTACTCCCGAATTTGTTTCATAATATTTATTTTAAAAAAATGTCAATACTTACCCAACTCTTTTGAGTTGTCAATATTCGTCAAAGATTGAGAGAGAAATTCCAAGAAACGCCAAAACGTCTCACTAAATTTACAAGCCGTATGCGATGGCACTTGTCGAGAAAATAATCCTGCTCTCTCGTGTCGAAATTTTTAATGGGTAAATTCATCCAACGTCTGTCGATCGTAGACGCCTCAAGAAAAAACTCGTTTTTTCGAAGCATCGGTGGTATTAAACGTTAACAATCTGCGAAATGCCAAACTCTAAAACTCAGCCATCTCTTTCGCTGACTGTTTCACACACTTCTTTGACAATAATTTTTCCTCAAAAAAAAAAAAAAAAAAAAAAAAAAAAAAAATGCGATTCCCTTTGGACATTGATCAATACTGACATCTAACGATCGTTGCGAGAAATTCGTTTTCGAATCAAACACTAGTGATATCTGTGAGAGGAAACGGAATTTAGGTAACGCTCGAATGATACAACAATTTTGAAAAAAAATTATTTATTTTCATAAGCGTAAACGGCGTAAACTAATTTTTATTTGGTATACTTTTTTGGTATACTATTTTTTTTCTCTTTAGGAACTTTAAAATAACTTTAGTTTTTTAAATAAATAACTTAATTCTATCAAGACTTTCTATAAAAAATTATACATTCTTCTTTTATATAAAAATAAATTCTATCCTTCTAAACTGTAAATATGGTTTCAGTCTCAAGGTTCGCTGATTTTTTTTTTATTCACAAAAAGAAAAACTTCGTTGATTAATATTTTTTTTTATATACATTCAATATTTTTACAGTGTTTGTGTGAAAATCATAATGTTGAATGCTTAATGAAAACAATGAAATATTTACAAAAATGAGAATGAAATATTAAAAAATTGCTAATGAATCAGTTTTCAAAAAAAAATATTTTTGTTGAGGACGCAAAAAACTCTTTGTCCTGAATATTTTTAAATTAACTCATAAAATATAATAATAAAATTCAAAAACAAAAATATATTAAATTTCCATAAAGTATAAACAAAATGTTTGTCAATTTTTAGCAATTCAAAAAAAAGTTAAATTATTTAATAGAAAAAAAGAGATAAAAATTATCCAAATGTTTAAAAATTGTGTAAAAATAGTTAATATTTTGTATAAGGAAATTAAGTATATAATCTTATTTAAAAATAAAATTTGAAATATACACATGAAAATTTGAATACACACATTTTTTATGAAAATTGATTCATATTCGAGCCTTTTATGTAAAAATATGTAAATCAATCGAGAACCAATCAGTTCCTACCTAATGAGATTCATTTTTTTTCTAATAAATAATTTTCTTTTTTTTTATACAAATAACAACAGTAAATAGCTAATTTTTTCGAATAAAAATTATTTTTCATTACTGAAAATTGGAAAAATTTTCAGAAAAAGTTAAAGGTTTTTTTTTTTGTTGTTTTTTTAAGGGAAAAATACCTGAGGATATATTTTCTAACAACTATTCCCCGTTTTAATTGTAGAAAATTTTTTGTACGTTTGTAATTTTTCGATTACAAATTGGACAGTGTTTGTTAGTCCTCCAAATTCGAATGGCACATTTATAACAGCAACTAACGTGAAGTGTACTTCCGTGTGAGAATGCTCCGTTTTTTGGATTCAATGTACACGTGATGCACATTTTTTCATCTGAATCGACATCTGTTTTTTTACTCCGTTCATCCAGTGAATTTTGATTTTTGCCATCTTCAATGGAATTATTTTCTGATTTGTTGATTTTTATCGAAATATCAATTCCATCGACGAGATCAAGATTCTTTTTGTCCGTAGAATCAAGATTTTTACTGTCGTCAGACTCTTGACTGGATTTCGTATCCTGACTACTCACACCGGAATCGTGACTTAAAATTTCTTCGGATTTCTTTTTCATTAAATCAAATTCGATTAGTTCGTTTTCCTTTTGCTGACGACGTTTCTTGCGTTTCGGTCGTGGTGGAAAGAAGTTTTTTCGAATCTGCAAAAAAGATAATGATTGGAATAAATTTTTATTCAATTTAGTTGATAATTTTTGAATGAAAATTGAATTTGGATTAAAGAAAATCAGGGTTGCCACAAAAATTAAATTAAATTTTTCCCTGATTTCCAGAAAATTTTTTGACTTTTTCCCTTATCCTAAGAATATTCTGATTCACTCTAAAAATGATTATGTAGATAATCAAAACAATGTTCTATTACATTTATTTACGAATTTTTTTAAATGTAAAATTTTTCGAAAACATAAATACCTTCATTTTTAAATACATATTTAATCATTATTATTTTTCCACAAGAATTCAAATTTTCAAAAATTTCAAATTCGAACCTTTTTGAAATAAAACATGAAGAAATCGATCACTCCGAGTCTTCGACTCGGTGTGATCCATTTCTTCATGTTTTATAATTTTTCGAAATTATTTTCATCAATTACTATTATTATTATTATTATTTATCATTATTAAAATAATTATTAATTTCTAGAATTTTATCTTCTAAAATTCTTCTTTAAATCGCAATTATTTTCAATAATTTTTGAAAAAGTTCCTTGAGAATTTTCAAATCAATTTGTTAATTAATTTTACAAAATTGTTAGTTAAAAGCATGAAAAATTCAGATTTTTCAAAAAAATTTAATTATTTCTAAAAATTCATGACATAATACTTTTAATAGTTAATAATTATCTAAAATTTTAACTGAAAAATTTTTATTAGAAAATTCTACGAGAATGCAATTATTATTTAAGTACAAAAATAAATAACTTATTGAATAATTGAATGTTTCTCAAAATTGAAATTTCATAAGAATTTTATCAAACAAATTTTTAAATAATTGAATTATTTCGACGAATTTTAATAAAATTTTTAAGAATAATTACATTTTTCGAGGAATTTGATTAAAATTGTATTAAAAATAATTGAAATTCTGCGCTGAGTTTTAATATTTATGAAAATAATTGAATTCCTAAAAAGAATTTGATTATTTATGAAAATAATTAAAACCCTGTAAAAAATGTTATTTATGAAAATAATGAAATTAATGCGAAAAAATTTGTAAATAATTGAATTGATGTGAAATTTTGACTATTGATGAAAATAATTAAATTTTTGAGTAAAGTTTTGTTACAATTTTTTTTTAATAATTGAATTCTTTTGGAAAATTTTATTGAAATAGTAGATATTGAAATTCATAGCATTGAAGAAAATTGTTGAAGATAATTGAAATTTTAGCAAAAATTTTATTAAAATTTTTGAAAATAATTGAACTCTGGCGAAGAATTTTGCTATTTATAAAAATAATTGAAATCTTGACGAGGAATTTCAAAATTTTTTTGAAAATAATTGAATTTCTGCGAAGAATTTTATTATTTTTGAAAATAATTAAATTCTTGTGATGAATATTGTTATTTATGAATATAATTGAATTTTGCAAAGAATGTTATTAAAATTGCTTAAAAAATAATTGAATTTCTGGGAAGAATTTCGTTATTTATCAAGATAATTGAATTTTTTCGAAGAATTCTGTTAAAATTTTTTAAATTATATTAAATATCAAACAATTTGACTAATTTCAGAAGAATTTTAATTATTAAAATTTTTCAAAAATCGATGTTCTTTAAAATTTCTAAAATTTTAAATTGAAACTTTTTTAAAATTAAATTAATTTTGAAATATTGAAGTAAAATTATTCACTAAATAATTTCTAAATAATAAATTTATGATAGTTCTTGAAAGAATTAAGTTATTTAAAAAGAAATTATTGGCAAAAATAGAAAAATTTGAAAGTTTTGTATTATAGAATTCTTGATAATTTCCTAGTTTATGAGATAAACAAAAAAAGTCACAAAAATTCCGAATTTTCTTATGAATTCTCAAAAATTCAATGTTTACCAGTACTTTTAATAAAAATCCCTGACTTTTCCCTGTCAAATTTTATTTTCCCTGAATCCCCTGACCTGTGGCAACCTTGTTTTGATTGAAAATTGAATTAGGATTTTTGAAAAAGTGCAAAAAAATTGTTTACTTTGTAACACTTTTCGCAATAGCGAAACAATGGATTATTGTTTTTGCTGGTGCATTGGACGCACGTCCAATAATCCGCTCTGCCAATTTCGCTGTCAACTGTGCTTCGAGAGTCATCGCTGTCGTCTGCAAAGCCGATGTCTGTCTCGTTGTATATTGCGGCGATCACTCCCATCGTTACGTAATCCTAAAAAAGTATTATTACATTAATGTAATTTTATTTTGTAATTTTTTTTTCTAATTTTTATTCCAAATTTTATTCAAGAAATTTAATACTAAATTCATAATTAATTAAAGATTTTAGTAATATAAATGTAATTTAATAGATTTAATCAATTTAATTTGTAAATTCTAGGAATTGGATGCAGTAATTAATTACCTCAGGATCAGATGACGACGTTGGATTGAGCATTGGATTCTCCTCCTCGGATTGAGAGGCAACTTCAAATTCCAATTGCACGGAGATGTCATCGTCACTGTCGTCATACGTATGTGTCGAAGTGTCGGACGTATCTTGGACGAATTCTGCAAATAAATTAATTTTGAAGGTAAGTAATTAGAAATATAACGAAAAAATGAAGGAAACAATTTCTTCCATTTATTAATTTAAGAAAATACCTATTATTGAATTATTAATTTAGAATTATGAAACATGAATTATTAATATTTATTATTCTAATTATATTTTAGCTTACCAGTTTCATCTCCTTGGATTGTGTATATAGACTCGTCATCCTCACTGGTCGGTAAGGGCGATTCGGATTCAAGGGTGACATAGTAAGCATTTCTTGATTTTTTAGATGATAGTTCATCGTCTGAAATTTATCAATTTATTTTCCATATAAGTAAATGCAGCAAAATACTTTTATAAAAATTGCTTATAAATTTAAAAGAGCATTTTTTCAAAACCGATAAATCCGTTAATTGCATATTTTCTTATTTCGAGAAATTGAAACTAATATCTTCACATAACCGCTAGAATTAATTTCAAAAAGAGAAATTTGGGATAATTTATTTCTGTAGTAACGTTCTTGTATTAAAGACGTTGCTTTTTTCAAAACTTTATCATAAAGGTTTTTGGTGATTTTTTCTATAAATGCACAAAAATTATAAAGTCCTCTTGGTTATATCGAAAATTTAAATTGAAAATTCTTTCTTAAATTTTATTCTTGAATTTTCATTCAAGAACAAAATTTAAGAAAGAATTTTTAGATTGGAATTTGAATTTATCAGGTTTTGAAAAGATGCTATAAATTTAATAAATACTTGTTTAGAACAAAACAGAAATTTATAGTTACTTAAAAAGTAATGAGAAATCAGAAAATTCTGGAAGATTTTTCCCAAAAAAAATAATTTTTGATAATAAAATTTGAAATCGAAATACAATAAAACAAAAGGAATTTTTTATTTTTGAAAAAATGCACTAGATAAAAAAACATGTCAAAATATAAAAACTGAATTATTATCATTATCAGTATAAAATAAAGTTTATTCATGATAAAATATCAAGTAGGCGTAAAACGAGCCTGTCGAAACAAGTTTAAGATTATGAGCAACACAAAGTCAAGAAACATGCACTTTGACCATATCGGTACAATTGAAAATAGCATTTTTTTTCAAATATTTTTAAACAAAAGACAAAATTAAAAAATACAGAACCAAACAAAATTTTTTTTGAACTATTAATAAATTTTCCTTTAATTTTTTTTTAGATTAAAATTAAAATTACTTACCATCATCGGACGAGGCTCTCCGCTTTAATGCCGAACTACAAACACCTACAAGTAAAAAACAAGAAAATTAAATTAATTTTTCATAATACTATATATGAAAAACAGTATTTGTAGTCGAGTTTCCCTACCAGGCGAGGAATTCAATATAATGCTCATTTCAAACTTAAAATTCTTGTAAACTAAACGATCTTTTTTTTATTGTGTACGAATACAAGCTGGGCCACAAGAGCGTCTATGTCGGCATATCCGCCAGCCGTTCGCTCTGTTGAATCGTCGCGTACACGTGAATGAAGCCTTTCCAAAATCTTGCGACTTGAAGTTAGATGGCGTTTCATTTTACCAGTGTAAATTTAACTCGGAGCCACCTTCACTCACAAACTTGAACTAGATTTTGGAATTGAGTTTTGGAAAATTAATCGCATTCACTTGATTCAACCAATGATGTTATTTTATCTTCAGGAACGTATTTATTCACAATTTCCCTGAAAATTGGTAATTTTTATATATCAACAATTACTAAGCTTATAAGTATTTTTAGCGCTAAAATTTTTCTTTACTTTTCTATTATCTTTTTACAAAGAAATATTAATTAAGGGGGAAATTTTTCAAAAAGGCGTTGAAGTTAATAATTTTAATAATTCAATTTTGAAAAAATTTAGTTTTTTAAAATCAGTTTCGTTTGTGAATAATTTTTTTTAATTGCAATCCACTTTTGTACTAATTTTGTTCTATAGTAATAATTATGATAATATAAAAAAAGTATTGATAAAGTTATTGGTAAATATTTGTAAAAATATTGGTAAATATTTCCGTAAAATTTTAGTAATTTAGTAATGTAGTTTTAGTAATTTAGTAAAATTCTAGTATTTCGAATTTTTTATCTTAAACAGAAATTTTTAATTCTATAATTTAAGGAAAGAAAAATTAAATTTAATGAAATATTTTTGGTAAATTAGGGGAAAAATTTTGGGTTGTAATTTGTAATACGTATTGTACTTTTCTAGGGCGAGACCTGAAAAAAAATTGATGTGGGTCTTTCGAATTTCTTGGAATTTGCTCAAGGTATCCTTGTCTCAAGGCCTTTTGTACGACTATAATACGCATCACGTACGCATCAAGTAGTGTAGTGGAATTCCGGTCCCGATCGCCAACGAAATTTCACGACGAAAACGTCTTTTACAGAGGCTCTCATTTTAATAGCAGGATTGGACCTGCATTCGACAAGTCTGAACAGAAAGTATGACCAGATGTTTTAGATAATGGAAAAGTTGATTCATCCCTCTTTATAAACGAAAACGGACAGCTCATAAAACACCCTTTCTCCGAAGGTTTCAAATTCCCGGAAATCATCGTCACCGACAAATTTCTAAATTTAATTTTTCCTACTTTTTTTTCCTTTTTATAAAAATTAATTAATTTTCGAATCTATGAAATTGAGCACCTTTAATATTGAATTTGATTCATAAAAAGTAGAAGAATAACGGAAGAAACTATAAATGTCGTTTCTCATTTTTTTCATTTATTGTCATAAGAGGAATTTTGTTTTAATTTTGTTATAATTTTGAATATTAATTTTTACTTTCGGTTATATTAATTAGTTCCACTTGTAAAATATAATAATGCTTTTATAAATTTTTACAATAGAAATCTATAACGCTAAATACTGACACTAGAGAACAGCACCTGACGGCTGCATTGGCATTCTGCATAAAATGCATTTTGTAAATTGTATAATTTTGTTGAATTTTAGTTTCAAATAGCACGCTAAGCGTTTTTATTTACTTTGTTTCACTTTGTCTATAAAAATTAGAAAACTTAAGGTATTTTTTTAAATTTTGCAATAACTATAATAGCGAAAAAAAAGTTCTTTTGACAATTGACAATTGACAAAAAGACCCCATTTGGAATCTATAATTACCCTATATTTTAATTATTATTCCTAATATTAATTCTGGTGTTTAATTTTTTTCAGAATATTTATACAAAAAGGTAGTAGCGCCATATTGTGAAAAAGCACGCAACCGGCAGATCTGGCAACAAAAGAATTATGAAATTAAAACTCTTGTTCATAAAGTTCATAAATAAAAGGTAAAATGAAACTTTTCAACTACTCGATAAAAATATTCTCGGCTATTAATTATTAATTACATCAAAGCGTACAATTACGACATGTAATTATTTTTTATTTCGTATATTTATTTTGTACATTTAAAATCTAACCTCTAAGTCATCCTGTCAAGAAAGAACATATTGTCGGAAAAAATAAATCACAGTGAATAATTTAAATTCCCTTTTTCAGGTGACAGACAATAAGGAAAAAATGCGCGAATTACCGAGAGTGACTCGTTCATTGCGAGCTTTCACAGATTTAGGGCGATTAAAGAAATGTGCACGTCAACTGCCCGATGAAATTTTTAATAAAAGGCTGGAGCAGACAGAAATTTTGAAAAAGTACGTTTCGAAGGATAAAATATACTTTTTTAATAAAGTAATACAGTAAAAATTAAGATTAAGATAATTAAGTAAAATTAAACAATAGATAAAATTAGAATAAATGAATAATCAAGAAAAATAGACGAATTTTATAACAATCGAAATTTATGTCAAATTTTCAGAGGACCCAGTTGGCATAATTTTTGTGCACGTGTACCGGAGAATGTGATGGCACTGCTTAGTAAAATTTATTTATTAACGTCAGAAATTTGCGGTAAGAAAGAAGAATTTCATTTTTTTTAAATATTGAACTAAAATTTACAACGTCGACGATTTTCAAAACTATTACTCGGAAAAGTAGGTAAATTTGAAAAAAACTCGAGTTTACGTTCTAAACTTGAGTTCAAACTTTAAAATACATTAAAATAATTATAACTATTAAAAAATAAATAATTGTAATTACTAAAATATTACATTTATTGTAAATGTTTCAGATGATCAAACACCGGAAGTTGTCAACGAAATAATCATGTTTATTCTCCGATTACTGATACATGAGAGAGTTGTCAGTCAAAAGAGTCTAAAAATTCTTCGACAATTACTCGGTTCTGTTACTATGCAATTTATCAATGAAATCACGAAGGTGAAAACTTTTATTTATTTTATTTATTTATTTATCTTTTTTTTAAGGGAAGTATATTTCGCTAATTGTAATAATTGTCATTAACAGGTAATAAATTCCCTGAGGGAAAATTTAACCGAAGAAGATATAGATTTTCTCTTGAATTCAGAAGAGGGAAATGTTTCTAATGAAGAGACAAATATGTTTGGTATAAAAATTCAGTATTACGAGGCAAAACCTTCTTGGCCGGATACAGAAAAATTACACGATATGTCGAAGCAAGTGAAGAACGATCATTTGGAAAATTTTACAATGACCCATGAAAATAGTTCGATTCAAAATAAAAAGAGTGAGGTTTGTAAAAATAATACACTTTTCCTCTATATTTTAAATTTTTACTTCTTTCAATTTACTTTCAATTTACTTTCAATTTAATAAAATTTATTATAACTTTATTATAAATTTATTATAACTTTATTATAAATTGATTTTCAAACTTTTTTCTAAACGAATTCTTCAAAAATTATTTTTGTTACCGTTTAGTTTGACAAATCGCGTTTTACGAAAGGAATGAAAAAATGCTACAACAAATACCGATTGGAAATGAATTACGAAGACTTTGTGACAATGATTACGAATAAATTGAAAACATCTGGAACGTTACTTCAAAATGAATTATTCGATTTATTGGGCTATGAAAATATTGATTTTATCGAATATGTTATTGAACATCAAAAGACAATATTGGCTTATTATATGAATCAAAGAGGATCACGAGTATTCAGTAAGAATATTTAAATCAATATTTAAATATCCTAAATATTTAAATATTTAGGATTTTATTTATTTTTTTTAGGATTTTATTTATTTATTTATTTATTTTGAATATTTAAATTTCCTAATCATGCACGGAAAAAAATATTCACCTGGAACAGCTATAAATTTCACTAGGTTAGCCAAATTTTTAGTTGTTTCAGTTAAGACTTTCCCTATTTTAGAGACACTTGTCGCTGTTCCAAGTAAACATTTTTTTCCGTATGAATTTGTTTTTTTTGTTCTTTATTTTATTTTTTGTTCCTTATTGTAAATAAGAAAATTTTCTTTTAAAGACAATGATCAACCGCAAATAACTTCGCAAATTATTGTACAATCGGAGAAGGAGAAACAATTATTGAAGCAAGTGCGAAAAGAGGAGAAGAAATTGCTTAAAGTCGCTAGTAAAATGGATGGTAGTCTTAATGACAACGAGGAGGATAATTTCGATCCCGTCGAATTGCGAGCAAAAAAAATTGAGGCATTAACGGCAATGAGAGCTCCACTATTTCCTCCAAAGAAAAAATATAAAAATTACGTTATTCAGGAAAAATTTCCGTTCGTCTTTGATTCGAAGTTATCAACATCGAATTGTCCAGGTGAATTGTTATTATATTAGTATTTTATTTTTTTTATTCAATTATTTATATTAAATAATAGTAATAATTATTACTTAGAAATTATTTAATTAATTTTTTTGGCAACCTTGATAATATCTATATTGATAATGAAATAATTAATAATTAATTTTGATTTACAGGATATATTTCAGGACGAAAAATAATGCTACCAGCAAATGTGAAGAGACAAGATTCGGAATTATGTGAAGAAGTTAATATACCAATTCCACCAGCAGAACCTCTCGATGTGGGAAACGATCAAGTTTTAGTAACTTCTTTAGACGAGGTAAATTCGCAGGAAAAATGTGTGAAAAATTCTTTTCTATTTGTTTGAAAAAAAGAAGAGATAAGAAATTCCTATTCAAACTATTTTTCTCCAGTTTGGAACGATCGAATGAACGAAATTTTTTTTCTACTTGAATATTTTTTAAAATTACTGTATAAAAAAGAAAAATTAAATGTTTACTTAATTAGGAACTACTTTTTTTTAAATATATACAAAATTTTTTGTAGAAAAAAAATATAAATTTAAAGGGGTTAAAAAAATATCGTTCACTTGAATGTTTGAAACTTTAGGAACTTTAGAAACTTTTCAAATAAATTAATATTTTCGAAAAAATATTGCAGATTGGTCAAATGGCATTTCAAGGGATAAAATCACTTAATCGGATACAAAGTATTGTTTTTAATGCCGCTTATCACACGAATGAGAATCTATTAATTTGTGCGCCGACAGGAGCGGGTAAAACAAATATTGCCATGCTCACAGTAGTGCATCAATTAAAATTACACATCGAAGATGGAGTCTTGCAGAAGAATGCTTTTAAAATCATTTATATTGCTCCAATGAAGGCTTTGGCTGCCGAAATGACGGCCAACTTTAAAAAGAGGTAAATATAATTATACAAGCTGATAATTTAATTACCAATATAAGAAAAAAGAAAATATTTAATGGAGAACTTAATTATTATAAAAAAATATAAAAGAAAATATTTAATAAAGAACTCAATTATTTTCTGTTTTTAGATTGGAATGTCTAGGCGTTACGGTGAGGGAATTAACGGGCGATATGCAACTAACGAAAACGGAAATAATGCAAACTCAAATGATTGTGACAACGCCGGAAAAATGGGACGTTGTCTCGAGAAAAGGCACCGGTGACATTGCACTAACGAGTATCGTGAAATTATTAATTATCGACGAAGTTCATTTACTTCACGGTGATCGTGGACCTGTTGTCGAGGCAGTTGTCGCACGAACTCTAAGACAGGTAGAGTCTTCGCAGAATATGATTCGAATCGTTGGTCTCTCGGCAACTTTGCCAAATTACGTGGACGTTGCACGATTTTTGAGAGTCAATCCATATAAGGGATTATTCTATTTTGATTATCGATTTCGACCCGTTCCGTTAAGTCAAACTTTCTATGGTGTTAAGGCCATTAAACCATTACAACAATTGGATGACATGAACACCGTTTGTTACAATGAAGTTGTCAATATGGTCAGCAAGGGTCACCAGGTCATGGTATTTGTGCACGCGCGAAATGCCACAATACGTACGGCAAATGTGCTGAAAGAAAAGGCACTTGAAAAAGGCACTCAGCAATTATTTGCTCCCGATGGAAGTCGATCAAAATTGAATCAAAAAATGTTTGGAAAATCGCACAATAAACATCTCGAGGAACTTTTTACCTATGGATTCTCAGTTCATCACGCTGGAATGTTACGTAGCGACAGAAATTTGGTAGAAAGACTTTTCTCCGAGGGAGCGATTAAAGTTCTCGTTTGCACTTCAACATTGGCGTGGGGAGTGAATTTACCAGCTCATGCGGTTATTATTCGTGGAACAGAGATATACGACTCAAAACACGGATCGTTTGTGGATTTAGGAATTTTGGATGTCTTGCAAATTTTTGGTCGAGCTGGAAGACCACAATTCGATACGTCGGGCCACGCGACGATTATTACATCTCATTGTAAATTAAGTCATTATCTATCATTGTTAACTAATCAATTTCCCATCGAGAGTAGTTTCATCAATCATTTGGCGGACAATTTGAATGCCGAGATTTCTCTGGGAACGATATCAAATGTGGAGGAAGCGGTCGAGTGGTTGAGTTATACGTATCTTTTCGTTCGAATGAGACTCAATCATCATGAATATGGAATCGATGAGAAAACTCTAATGGACGATCCAAATTTAGAGAGAAAACGAAGGGAACTCATTGATTCTGCTGCCAAGGCTCTGGATAAAGCGAGAATGATTCGATACAATACTCGTACTGGAGATCTAAATGCGACCGATTTGGGACGCACATCAAGTAATTATTACCTCAAGTATTACACAGTTGAAATGTTTAACGAACTTAGAAAACCCGTCATGACTGAAGCTGATGTTCTCGGAATGATTTCTCGCTCCCACGAATTCGAACAATTAAAAGTGAGAGATGACGAGATGGACGAATTAGATGATTTGTACTCGAATTACTGTGAAATTGTTGCTCAAGGTGGAGTTGAAAATATTCACGGAAAAGTTAACGTACTACTTCAAACCTATTTATCGCGAGGGAGAATTAAATCGTTTTCATTAATTTCGGATCAAGCTTACATTACACAGAATGCAGTACGAATTTGCAGAGCTCTATTCGAAATTGAATTGCGAACTTCAAATGCAATTATGGCTGGTCGAATACTTGGTATTGCGAAAATGTTGGAATTACAACAATGGGATCACATGAGTCCTTTAAGGCAATTTTTCTGTTTACCAGTCGAGGCAATTGAGAGAATCGAGAATCGAAATCTTTCCGTTGAGAATTTGAAGGAGATGGACGTCAAAGAAATTGGAAGTTTGCTGCGAAATCATAAAGTAGCCGAGTTAGTAAAAAAGTGTTGTAATGAATTTCCTGAACTCGAAGTTGAAGACAATCTGCAGCCAATAACGCGAAGTGTCTTGAGAATACGTTTGAAAATCCTACCACGATTCCGATGGAACGATCGTGTCCATGGAAAAAATTGGGAAGCCTTTTGGCTTTGGATAGAAGACCCCGATAATAATGAAATTCATCATTATGAGTATTTCGTTATGCCTAGGAAAAATGTTTACAACAATTTAGAACATGAATTAGTGATGACTATTCCTCTCACTGAACCACTTCCGTCGCAGTATTTAGTTAAAATAGTGAGCGATCGTTGGCTCGGTTGCGAAGTCATACATCCTCTTTCATTTAAAAATCTCATTCTACCCGAAACTCATCCGCCACACACTGGTAAGCTGAAAAATTTATTTTCTTTTTCAAACTTTGAAATATATTTTAAAACATATTTACACTCTCTTCGTTTTTAACTAATTTTTTTCCAATATGATCGAATTAATTTGAGAAATTATTCACAGATCTTCTCGAACTACAACCACTGCCAGTGTCAGCTCTGAAAGATTCGAGATTGGAGAAATTATACAAATTCACCCACTTTAATCCAATACAAACGCAAATTTTCCACTGCCTCTATCATACGGATCAAAATGTTCTTCTCGGAGCTCCCACAGGTTCAGGAAAAACAATCGCTGCCGAAATTGCCATGTTCCGAGTGTTCAAAGAATATCCCGATCAAAAAATCGTGTACATTGCTCCGCTAAAGGCTCTAGTTCGAGAGCGAATGAAAGACTGGAAAATTCGATTAGCGGAGAAATTGGGAAAAACAGTGGTCGAATTAACTGGTGATGTGTCACCGGACATTAAAGTAATTTCTAGTGCAAGTGTTATTGTAACGACACCGGAAAAATGGGATGGAATAAGCAGAAGTTGGCAGACGAGGAATTATGTTCGTAAAGTTGGTTTAATTATCATTGATGAGATTCATCTTTTGGGCGAAGACAGAGGTCCAGTTTTGGAAGTGATTGTCTCGCGTACGAATTTCATTGCATCTCACACCACGCGAACATTGAGAATTATTGGTCTTTCAACCGCTTTAGCGAATGCTGTCGATTTAGCCGATTGGCTCGGCATCAGTAAAGTATGTTCTCCATTTATTAATTTAAAAAATTTTTTTTTTTGTATTTTGGTGGTATTTTATATTGATATTTGCAGATGGGACTTTACAATTTCCGACCTTCGGTGAGACCAGTGCCGCTGGACGTTCACATTAGCGGATTTCCAGGAAAACATTATTGCCCAAGAATGGCGACAATGAATCGTCCGACTTTTCAGGCAATCCGTCAGCATGCTCCCTGCAGTCCTTCGTTGGTTTTCGTCTCGTCGAGAAGGCAGACACGATTAACAGCTTTGGATTTGATTGCATATCTCGCGGCGGAAGATAATCCGAAACAATGGCTGCATATGCCAGACGAGGAAATGGACAATATCCTAGTGAATGTGAAAGACGGGAATTTGAAATTAACCCTTGCTTTTGGAATTGGCCTTCATCACGCTGGTCTTCAGGATCGTGATCGATCGACTGTCGAGGAATTGTTCGTTAATAACAAAATACAGGTGCGAAGAATAAAACTAATTCTCTCCTTTTCTTTGTAATTTATATTTCTATACTTGCTGTCAATATTTTTTTTATCATACCATATTTTTATATTAGTATATTTTCACTATTTTTATTTATTATTATTATTATGAATTATGATTATTCATAAATATTTTTATATTTTAGGTATTAATAACGACAGCGACTCTAGCGTGGGGAGTGAATTTTCCGGCACATTTGGTTGTGATTAAAGGAACGGAGTATTACGATGGCAAAGCAAAGCGTTACGTTGATATGCCCATTACTGATGTTTTGCAAATGATGGGACGCGCTGGACGACCGCAATTTGATGATTCAGGTGTTGCTGTTGTTCTCGTTCACGATGTAAAGAAGAATTTCTACAAGAAATTTCTTTACGATCCATTTCCCGTTGAGAGTAGTTTATTGGAAGTTTTGCCGGATCATGTGAATGCTGAAATTGTTGCGGGAACGATAAAAAATAAACAGGAATTCTTGGATTACTTAACTTGGACCTACTTCTTCCGGAGACTCATGAAAAATCCAAGATATTATGATTTAGATGCTTTGGAACCGGAGAATATTAATAAATTCCTCTCGCGGCTTGTTGAGGGCACTTTGAAAGTACTTACTGACTCGCACTGCGCTGCTTATGATGATGTAAGTAATTTTTTAAATTCTTTTTAAATATATCCAATTTTAAAATTAATGTATTGAAAATCATTGAATTCTTGCAAAGAATTTTATTATTTATTGAAATAACTGAATTCTCACGAAGAATTTTATCAAAATTTTGAAAAAACCTAATTAAATTCTTTGAAGAATTTTTTTAAAATAGTGGAGTTTTTTAAAATAATTTTTCCATTAAAATTATTTTAAAAAACTCCACTATTTTAAAAAATTCTTCAAAAGAATTTAATTAAATTCATTCAAAAAATTTCTTTAATTTATTGAATATAAACGATTTTGTTGATAATTGTAATTAACAATTTTAGTAAAAAAATTTTTTCTTAAAATATTACAAATTAAAGAAAACTGAATTCTTTCATGAAATTTTATTAAAATTGTATTAAAAATTATTGAATTTTTGAAATGAATTTTACTATTTATAAAAATAATTGAATTGTTTCGAAGGATTTATTAAAATTTTAGAAAATAATTGAATTCTTTTGACAAATTTTATAACGAATTAAGAAAAAAATTGAATTCTTTCCTGAAATTTTGTTGAAAATAATTGAATTTTTTCGAAGGATTTATTAAAATTTTAGATAATAATTGAATTCTTCAGTGAAATTTAATTAAAATTTTGTTGAAAATAATTGAATTTTTGCAAAAATTTTTCCTATTTCTACAAATAATTGAATTTTTGCGAAGAATGTTATTATTTATGAAAATAATTGAATTCCTTTGAATGATTTTATCAAAATTTTTGAAAATAATTGATTTTTGGCGAAGAATTTTGATATTTATAAAAATAATTGAAATCTTGGAAAGGATGTTTAATAATTTATTAAAAATAATTCAATTTTTGCGAAGAATTTTTATACTTTTGAAAATAATTGAACTCCTTTGATAAATATTGTAATTTATCAAAATAATTAAATTCCCAAACAGAATTTTATTTATGAAAATAATAGAATTATTGCGATGAAATTTATAAAAAAATTGTTAAATAATTGAATTTCTGTGAAATTTTTATTTATTTATAAAAATAATTAAATATTTGCGTAGAATTTTATTAAATTTTTTTTTAAATAATTAAATTCTTTTAGAAAATTTGATTATAACATTAGATATTGAAAATAATTGAATTTTTGACAAGAATTTTATTAAATTTTTTGATAATGATTTAATTCTTTGCAAGAATTTTATTAAAATAATTGAATTCAAAGAATAATAATTATTAAATGTATTATTTCAAATAGTTTTATCAAAATCTATGGAAATAATTGAATCCTTTCGTGAAATTTTATTAAAATTGTTACCAAAAAAATATTCTTTTTTCTTTTAGGAAGAACAGAGTTTAATTCCTCTTCCCATGGGCAAGATTGCTTCGTTTTATTATTTATCACATCAGACGACATTAAGGTTCAAAGAAGAATTGAAGGACAATCTTTCTGTCGAACAATATCTTCGAATTATGTGCAATGCCCATGAATATGACGAATTACCAGTGAGGCACAACGAAGATTTACTTAACGAGTGAGTTTTATCTTATATTTTCTATTATTGAAAATTTTTTCTTTTTTTTCCTATTTTACTTAAATTTAAAAAATTATTTATTTCATCAACTAATAATTTGAGACACTAATTTTTATATTCAAATTTCAGGGATCTGGCAAAGTTGTGCAAATATCAAGTCGATCGTCTCACTTACGATTCTCCGAATACAAAAACATTTTTATTAATGCAAGTACATTTTTCGAGATTACCAGTGCCGTGCTCTGATTATACCACTGATTTGAAATCCGTTCTTGATCAGTCAATAAGAATATTACAGGTAATTAATAAAATATAAAAATAGTAATTCTAATTTTAAATTAGTATTCAAATTTATAAATTTTATTAGTAAATAGTAATTTCTGCTAATTTATTTAGTAAAATTTGCTAATTAAAAAACAAAAAGTCAGTCACTAATTGAAAGTAGTAAACATTTAATTACTAATTCAAATTTAGAGTATTTTTCGGTTTTAGAGAATTCGGTTTCTTTGGAAATAAATGAAATTTATTTTAAGTTACTTAAATTAAAAATAAACGTAATTAAAAATCAATAGATTTATAGTTTGCCAATTTTATTGATTTTATTTTTTTATTAACAGGCAATGATCGACGTGGTTGCTGAAAACGGTTGGTTAATAGCCACTTTAAGATTAACGCAATTAATGCAAATGGTCATTCAGGCCCGATGGATTGATGAACCAGCAGTTCTAACACTACCTCACGTAAATCGTGAACACCTCTTTCTTTTTTCTACAATTCCAAAATGTCTTCCAGAACTTTGTGCTAAAATGTACGATAATTACAGTCAATTGTCCAACGTTTTTCTTAAAGAATTCGCAGAACGTGAAGTCTACGAGGTAATATTTAAAAAAACATTTACATTTAAGTAAACAATTAAAAAAATTCAATTTTTTTAATTGTTCGAATTACAAAAATTCAATTATTTCAGATACACCAAACTATGCGACAAATGCCAATATTATGTCTAGAATTGACACTTACTGAGGAGGAAGATGGAACTGAAAAGATTATAAATCTCTCGTCACAGACAGAGAAGATTATTGATATTCATGGAAATCGGGATTATACATTAACAGTTAAGATGAGAAGGAAAAATCATACTTCTAATTTAAAGGCTCATACTCCTTGTTTTTTGCGAGGAAAAGATGAGGGATGGTTTTTGATTTTGGGCGACGTTAATCAGAGAGATTTGTGGGCATTGAAAAGAGTCTCGGGTGTCAATGGACCACGACGAAATAGTCAGTTACAATTCACGTCTCCCTCAAAGTCAGGTACGTTATCGGTTTTTTAACTTTATATTTTATTTATATTTGAGAATAAAAATTGTTTAATTTTCATATTAATAATAAATTGAATATCACTTTCCTAACATAAGAATAATGAAAAATAATTTTCTTTCAGGTCGTACAATTTTAACACTGTACATAATGTCAGATTGTTACATTGGTTTGGATCAGCAATACGATATAAATTTAAATGTCATTTCTGAAAGATAGCATTTTCAAAAATCGTAGATCAGATCTTTATTGCTTTAATGTAAGTAGCAAAACAAAAATTGTTAGATTTTTTCTGTTAATATATATTTATATCATGACTGCATAATTCAATTTTACTTTACAATAAAATGTCAAGGTTTTATAAAATATATTTCGTTCATTTAATTAACGATACTTTTTTAATTTCATTGTTTTATTCGTTATTCAATCTGTGAGTGTGTGTTTTTTGTGTATAAAAAAAATGTTAAGCCTAGTCGTGAGATCTAATTATGGTGAAAAACATATTCTAATTTCTAGTTTTACAAAAAAAAGAATTAACGATTACATGTGTATTTTAATAAGTATTCAAATGAAATGTAAGTATATTGAAATATATTTTGAGTCTAATGTAATACTATTTTGTTTAATGTAAGTATGTTTCAATTTATCATATAATATTATACGATTATTAATTATTTAGATTGACAACATTTTTTTCACGAAGACAATGAACCATTTATAAATTTTATATATGTTACAAAGACATTATTATTTTATTCTATTTTTCTGGTTCCTTTTTACATCAATATTTCTTACAAATTCAATTTTTATCACATTTTACTGTAATTAAGATGAAACTGAAAAACATGTTTTTAATTATCTAAATTTTCTATACATGTACGAACTATTATTTAGGATGAAAGTCAGTCTTTCAGTGTGTATAAATCTTACTATTAATTTTTAATAATTTCATATTTTCTTTATTGAATTATTGAATTATTGAATCTAGAAATTGAAAAGTGAAACTATTTTTTGAATAAGAAAATCTTTATTTAAATGATTAAACAATTTAAGAATTTCTTCATTAATCTGAAAAGTGTAGTTTTCAAATTGAGAATATATTTTCACGAGTTTATACACGACTTTATTATATGAATTTTTTTAAGTAAAATGCAATTAATATCACTTGATTAAACAAAAAAGTCTAGCTGCTTAAGTAATGATGTAAGTATGGTATTGTAAATATACCTTAAGAGGTAAATTTCATAACAATGATTTAATTTTTCTTTTGTTTTTCCTAGATAACAATTCGCACATTAGAATTGAATTAAATTTGTTCCATTATCACATCGAATTACACAATTCTTTTAAATTCCGAAAAATTTACATTCACTTAGAATTTAAATATTTAACAAATTTTTCCATATTTAATTTTACATCAATGAAGAAAAACGTTTAAACATCTCTCTTTTTTTCTCTCTAATCAAAACACTAATCTACAAATTTCAACTTTTATTATTATAAACGAGAAATTCGAAACAAATCGATAAAGTAATGAGTTACTGTTACTATTTCGTTATCTACTAATTATATTACTAAATTGATCATTTTAGTAGAAATAAATTTTTACCCCTTTTCACAAAATGAAAAAACAGTCTCGTTAAATCTCTCACAAACAAAATAAAAATTTTCGATATTTTTTTTTTTACCAATTTGAAATATAAATAAATTTATTCCGACCTCAATATCAATTTACGTCGAATATTTTCTTTCCTTTGTTTTGTCTTGCTAATTATTTCGCTTAAGTAATATAAGCCATTAATCTGATTTAATTATCTAAAATTAAGAGTCTCTTGCAAATTATAATATTTTGTGTAAATGCAAGTATTTTAAAGACGGTAAATATTTTTTTTGTGTGTATAATGTGTGTGTTAATTAATTCATTTTTTTTTTTGTAATTAAAGTTTCGATTGCTCTATATTCAGAACGAAAAAGTGTAAAAGAAAATTTTATCACTCAACAACCAATGATGCACTCGCGTAGCTGACAGAACTGTCATGCATATAATTACATTCACTACTTTGAGCATACTTCAAAAATTTCAAATTCATCCTCTGACCATTTGAACGACTTTGTACGCATTGTATAATCTAAAAACAGAGGAACAATTTTTGTGTAAATCAAAAATTTTATTTAACATACGAATGAATTAAAATTAAATGAAAGTAAAAATAAAAGGAATTAAAGTACATAATTGAAAATATCTTACCTGCAGCAATACACCAATTGGATGCCTACCGCAAATAGTATTTCCGTAACTTTTAAGGTACTCAGTGAAAGCTGCTGGATTTAAATTCTCAATTAAATCCATCCCCTGAAAAATTAAATAATGAAATTATAATAATATCAATATAATTATAAATTATTTAATTTTTATTGTTAATTTAATTAATTTATTATTAATAGAAATTAAATAATAGTTATTAAAAATATTCTGTATTTTAAACAGAAGGTGTTAATTTAAAATTCTCACGAACCATTTTATCGAGATTACGAATAGATTTATGAATTGCACCGCAAGTTTGATCGTAATATGTGTAATGAAATCTTTGTCCCCAATGACAAAAATCGGAAGATATGATGAATAAATTTTGTGGATCTACCAGATATGGTGCCAATAATTTACCATACATCGCTTCTTTATCAGGACTTAAGGATCCAACTAAAATTGGAATTATGGTAAACGAGTCTCTAAAACTTTTCCAAAAAAACAATTATTAAGATAAATACAAGAAAATTACTAATTAAATTTAATTTAAATAAAAATTCTAAATTAATTATACATACTTTTCCATAACTTTGGCTATATACGGTAAATGCATTTCAATACTGTGTTCATCTTCGTCTGTATTAATATCCATCCATTGAAAATGACCCGTTTCTGCTAGTTCTTTGTAAACTATTCAAACAAAAAGAATTTTTCACGTTTTAAATTAAATTAAATCAAAATTAATGAATTTAAATCAAAATTAATTAAATTAAATGAAAATGAATGAAATTAAATCAAAATTATTTACAATAATAATTGCTTTTTATTTTGTAATTATAAACAAAGGATTCTCACCGTTTTGATCGATACGCAGGTCATACAAAGGAGTCTGATAAGTAGAAGCTGAGGAGAGAGCACATCCTGATAATCTCACATGATGCGAAGGCCCTAGGATAAATATTTTTCGACTGCAAAAAGCAATTACAATAAATAACTCTTTTCAATAAAAAAATATTTAAACATTTTTTTCGTAAATTCTTACACAACTGCCGGACTTATTTGTCGATACGCAAATCCCGCACAGCTTCCACAGTAACTATAACCCGCATGCCTGTGAAAAAGAAAATATTATCAATTATTTGTTCTAAAAAAAGAAAAATTGAAAAATAATTACTAAATTATTTTTTTATTATTTTTAATTCAATTTAATTACTAAATAATTACTAACGGAGCAATTATCGCCCTGGCAGGTCCATGACTCAAATCAGCTGCACTCAGCCAGCCTTCCAATTGTCTATTTAATTCAGCACCTAAAATAAAAATAATAATTAAAAATAAGATTTAAAAAAAGAAAATTTTTCTAATTTTCTACAAAAAAACCTTAAAGTTATTTTTAAAAAAATAATAAAGAAAGAAAATTTGGAAACATTTTAACAAAGACGAACATACAGAAATTTGCCAAAATGTATAATTATGCAAATTTCGTAATCGCAGGAAAAAAAAAACAAAACAAAGAACAAAGAAAGTCTTACCATTTTCTGTATACCAACTTCCAGAATGACTCGCTTTCCTTGCCAATGCCATTATTACAATTGGAAATTTTCCTTTTTTGTGTAATTAAAAAATTTCTATTGAATATGATAGAGAAAATATCATAAATATCAGAGAGAACTTTATTTAACTTTTTTTTAATATAGAAAATTCAACTTTTCTTTATAACACAGAGACACGAAAGTTTTTCGATGTACTGATAAATATTCTTAATTATTACGTCAATTTAAGGCGTAAATAATATATTTTTAATAATCTAAAGCACACTGAGATAATTTAATTTGTAAATTATCTCCGAAACATAAAATTATGCTCTAAAATAAAAGCAGATGAGTATACATTAGACGCCATTAAAGGAATTTTGTGATTGCGCCGCATTGTTGCCATGCTGCTGCTTTCTAATTGGTCCGATTGATTTTTAATTTAAAGAAAAATTTCTTATTTGTATTTTCTAATTTCTTTTCAATAAATAACAATCACTGTTATGAGTAATAATAACAATACAATTTTTTTAATTTTAGTTTTACTTTAAATATTTAAAGTAGAAGTAAAATTAAGAAAGTTTAAAAAAGGTATTTAAAAATACGCGCTTAAATTATTCTGACCAATAGGAAGCAATCGGCTTAATTTGGAAACACGGCAACAGTGTGCTGCATGTTTACCTGTTTATCTCAAAAATAAAAATATCAAAATAATTCTAATTTTACGATTTGTTAATTTATTTGACAAAGTGATCAGTAATGCTAATTTTCTTAAGTTAATTTCGCTTTTATTGTTATACTTTTTCCTACTTTGTAACACTGTATAAAACTATTTAATAGAAGTCAGGTAAGTTACACCGATTATAACCTTACTTTTTTTATCATTAGTAAATAAATTTTCTTTACATTTTTTTAAAAAAGAATTTCAAAAAACTTGAAGAAATAACGTCCTTAAAATTAGCGAATTTAAATCTCTTGTTAAATCAATATTTTTAATGTGTCAGTTTAACAATCTTTTTATAAATTTACTATACTTTCAAAGTAGGTAATAACGTAATAAATAAAGTCAATTATTACTTTAAAACTTGTAAATTTACAAAAAGTTATGAAAATGACAATTAAAAGTACTAACTTTAAAAAAGAGAATTTAAATTCCTTGATTTTATAGACGCAATTTTACAAACTTTTATAAAATTCCATTTAAAAAACAGTACAACTAGAAACAATTTTTTGTACACAAAATTTTTGAATAAAAAATAATAATTACACAATCTAATTTTAATTTCCAGAATGAGTAAATATGTGAATTTAATAAACGTGAAAACAAGGTACGCAATGCGTATGAATCGTTTGAGTAATCGAATATTCGGCGAAGTTGTACGAGATGTTCCAGAATCTGCAATGAAAGTTGTCAAATTATTCAGTGAAAAACCAGTGCAAAAAAGACCAGAAATAGTCGAATACTATCCTCGCCTTCGTGCCACTCATTTGATAATGAAAAATTTACGATTCTACGGTCTATTTAGAAATGAACATCAAGATTTTAAGGAAGAACAACAACGTATGAAAATTCTTCGTGGTAAACAACCGTGGGTGAAGGGACAAAAAAGAGATAAAAATTAAATCATGTAATAGAGTTGTAAATAATACACGTTGTTAATTTTAACAAAAATTCTTTTTTAATCAATCATTGAGAAAGTCTTTTTTATAAAAAGTTTACACAATATACACAATATAAAAAGAATAGTGACAAAATGATGAGATTGTATTTAAAAGAGAAACTATTTACAAACGTACTACAATCAGAGGAGAAGGAATGAGAATCGTCGTCGTCAATCGTAAAAGGTAATAATTCGTCCGAATCGTCAAAATTTGTATTTTTTGTTACTTCATTTGTTTCTATTGATTTTTTATTGAAATCAGTCTCTTGATATTTGGGAAAATTTTGTTTCTTTACATTTTCATTGGCATCGCGTGGAATTATATAATTTTCATTTGAAAATGTGATATTATCTTTTGGCTGTAAATTTTTTCTTTCATCCAAATCGTCAATTGAGAATTTTTTCTTTATGTTGAATATATTATATTTTTTTGCTTCGTTTAAAATTTTTTCTACATCTTCGGCTGAAAATTGATTTCTCAATTCTGTGGGATCGGAATATTTTTTTATGTTTTTTGTATCTTCGTTTAATTTTTTCGGGCAGAGTTCTAGTTTTGGCAATGAATTCTCACGGTAATTTTTTAGTATTTCATTCACCCAGCCTCTAATAATGAGGAAAAGGAAAAAATATTTAATTTTGCTAATTCTTTATTTTCTTTATATTTATTTAAGGGTTGCCAGAGGTCAAGGAAAAGTTAGGGATTTTTTATTTAAAGTATTGGAAAAAATTAAATTTTTAGAATTCAACATCTACTAATTTAATATAATATTCCAAATGAATTCAATTATTTAAAATTGTATTACAAACATTTAGATATTTTCATAAATAATATAAAAATTTCACAAGAATTCAATTATTTACAAATTATTTATAAATTTCATCGTAATAATTCAATTATTTTCATAAATAAAAAATTTTTTAAAGAGATTCAATTCTTTTCATAAATAATAAAATTCTTTTTAGGAATTTAATTACTTCCATAAATAACAATATTTATCAAAAGAAATCAATTATTTTTATTTAAAGTAATAAAATTCTTGGCAAAAATTCACTTATTTTCAATAAATTTTTATAAATCCTCGTCAAGATTTCAATTATCTTTATAAATATCAAAATTCTTCGCCAAAATTCAATTATTTTCAGAAATTATAATTAAATTCTTGGCAAAATTTCAATTATTTTTATAATATCAAAATTCTTCGCCAAAATTTAATTATTTTCAAAAATTTTAATTAAATTCTTAGCAAAATTTCAATTATTTTCAATATCTACTATTTGAAAAAAATTTTCCAAAAGAATTTAATTATTTAAAAAAATTTAATAAAATTCTCTTTAGGAATTCAATTATTTACAGAAATAATAAAACTCATCGCATCATTTCACTTATTTTCAACACAGTTTTAATCGAATTCCTTAAAAAATGTAATTATTCTTAGAATTTTTATTAAAATTTGTCAAAATTCAATTATTTAAAAATTTGTTTACAAAATTCTTTATTAGAATTGAATTTAAAAAAAATTCAATTATTTATTTTTGTATTTAAATAATTGAATTCTCGTAGAATTTTCCAATAAAAATTGATTTAAAAATAAATTTCAGTTTAATTAAATTTTTTTTAAAAATTAATTAATTAATTAAATTAATAATAATAATAATTGAATTCAAATAATGAAAATAATTTTAAAGAAGTTATATATAGGAACAATAAAATAATTATTTTGTCACTCGATCATCTTTAATTATTAAAAAACATGAAGAAATCGAGGATTCCGAGTCGAAGACTCAGAATGATCGATTTCTTCATGTTTTCTAATACTATTTTTATAATTTGTTGATTTTTGAAATTTTAAATAAAACTATATATGTAAATGTTTTCGAGTAATTTTCCAGTTAAAGAAAATCGTAAATAAATTTATTAAGAAATTTTTTTCAGTATCTAATAATTTTTAGAGTGAATCAGAATATTCTTTAGTGTCAGGGAAAAAGTCAAAAATTTGTCTAGAAATTAGAGAAAAGTTAAGGAAAAAAAAAATTAAATTTTAAAATAAATTAAAATTAAAATTAAATTAATTTAAAAAGAAAATTAAATTTTAAATTGAATTAAAATTAAAATCAAATGAAATTGAAAAGAGAATTAAATTTTTAAATGAATTAAAATTAAAATCAAATTAAATTAAAAAGAGAATTAAATTTTAAAATGAATTAAAATTAAAATTAAATTTTTGTGGCAACCCTGAATTTATAATTCTTTCTGCGTTAATTGAAAGAAAAGAATTTTATTTCTAACCTAAACATGTGAGTATTGAGATACGTTGGTGAACCACCGCAATCGAATGAAAACTTGGTCCACGATGCTATTCCTAATAAGACCATTTTGTCATTTTGATCTTGACAGACAACGGGTGTTCCTGGATTACCAGCGCACGCCAATCTTTCGCCATCCGAATCGACCATTGTGCAGAAAACATTTAAAAAACTCGCATTCCCCTTGTACATGTAGGCGCAATTTTTCCACGAATTTAATATTATTTCACTGTATTGAATTGGTTTTGCGAACACTTTTTTCGATTGCCGTCCCACATAACTTTCCCAGCCGAATATAAAGCAAGATTTAAAATTTTCATCATGATTGCGCGGTGGTCCTAGATCTAAAAAAGGAAACTCAGCATCACATAAATTAAACGGTCTCATTAATTTAACTAAAGCGATATTATTGTTAGGATCTTGAGTGTTGAATTTTGGAAATATATACGCATGCATCACATTTATAACTTGAAATGATTCTGTTTCATTCAAACCAACAGCTTGGAGTAAAATTGACTAGAAAAAATTGTTTCATTTATTTTCAATATTATATTCGCTAATGAAATTAAATTTCTTTCCTTTTTTTAGCAAAATTATTTTCTGTTATTATATTTTTAAATGAAAATTTATAAATTTTCATTTTCATTTAAAAATACTTTTGTTCTTTTTATTACTTGTCGATCGCCTTGAACACATTGAGCAGCTGTTAAAATCCAATCAGAAGAAACTAAAATCCCACCGCAAGGAATCACGGTTTTAAATTGCACGAGCCAAGGGAATTGTCCTTTTTTTATTCTTGTCCCCAATAATTTGTTTGCACTACTTTCTTCATTCAAATTTGTGAGAATTATTAAAAAAAATAATACAAACATTGACATATTTTTCAATAACGACAAATGTCAGGTTTCATTTTTTCAAATATTTCACTCACTTCAGAGTGATATGATTTTTATTTTTTTTTCATAATTCTGATACACAAGACAATTTTGTAGAATTTCAAAATTGGTATTGTTGATAAAAATAATTTTGAATTTTTGTTTTAATAATATAAAAATATATTATCGGTAGAAAAAATCAAAATTGAAATTAACTAATAAATTGATTAGAAACGAAAAGCTTATTTAAAATTCATGGCACACAAATGTTAGAAAAACAAAGTTGGTTAAGTTTACAATGTTTAGTCAACGATTTAGAACCTTTTGCTTTAAATTACTTTACATACTTTTTTTGATCGATAATTGAAAAAGAAAAATTTTACTGTTTTTCTAGTGACAAATATTTTTTCTCTCGATTGTTGAAACTTTGTAAACTTCACTAACGTATAAAAATCGTTTTAAAAAATTGAGTTTTCTCTTAAGTAAAAAACAGTCGTACAATATTATTTGGAGTATTAATGAATCACAATTCTTCCTTATTGGGAATTTTTGGTTTTTTAACAACTTTGTCATCAGTCTTCTTTGTATTTTTATCTTCGATTTTTCCGCTATCTCCTCTTTCTCTCAAACACGAATCACTTTTGCCCTTCAAAACTCTATCGGTGCACAAATACCTGGAGGAATATTTAATTATTTTAATCGAATGACAAATTTCAAATTTTGTGAAAATTGAAAATTTGGAATAATCGGAAAAAATATAATCGAGATATTATTTAAAATTAGAAAAAAATTTCGAGAAAATGTTTATAGTTACCTGGAGAGCGGAACTTGTCCCTGTAAATTGAAATACCAATTTTCAATGTCCTCTTCGTGATTTTCTAATAAAGTTTCACAATCACTTTTCAGTGAAGTGATTTCCACGGAAGGATTGTCCCACAATTCATAAGGAATTCCTAATTCTACTTTTACACCTTTGTTTCTGTAAATTTTGTATTGAAGAAAAAAAATTAATAAACTCGTTCAATTGAAAATTGAAACTTAAAAACGTAAATAAAAATTAATTGAAATTAAATTAATTAAATTTAAATTATAGTGAAGGAAAATAAACGAAAATATTCGGACAAATAGTTTTTAAAAACTATTTGTCCGAATGTTTTCGTTTATTTTCCTTCACTATAATTTAAATCTCTCGGACGTAAAAGATTGATTAATTAAATTTAAATTTAATTTAGTTAAATTGACGTTAATAAAAAATTAATCATACACAAGGCCGTGAAGAGTTTTAAACGTTTGACTCATTCCTTTTTCGAAGCGAGTGCTGTCCGTACGTTCTTTATGAATATTGTATTCTAGAATTTTATCACACAAGTTCTCCATTGTTTCCAGTAGTCGAAGATTTCTAAAATAATTGAAAAAGAAGGAGAAGTTGTCAATTTTAAATTTAATTTCGTAGATGTTTTTATTATAAAATAAAATTAACTTACGATAATGAATACTGTGTTTTTGTCTTAGATTTGACATCGTCTAAAGAATATCCTGTTTCTATAATATCGTGAGTCTTTCCTGTTTCTTGCAGTCGATTTTCCAGTTCTGTGACAACTACTTTGCACACTAAATTTCAAAATAATTGAAAAAATCAGTAAATTTTTTTAATAATAAATTTATAATTGCACAGTAATTAATTTATTAATTTCTATAATTTATAATTATTTCTAATTAATATTAATTGTAAATATAGCTATAGAGAGTAAAATAATAAATAATAAAAACAATTAGAAAATTATTTCTTATATTAAAATTCTATAATTAATAATTTATACAATTTATACTCTTTTTTTCAATTACCTTCACACTTATCTGCATATTTAACACCCTCTGCTTCCTCAGGACCACCACCAACAACAACATTTATTAAATTTATCGCAACAATAATAATTTGAAATATGACAAAATTCATGTTTGTGGTTTATTATTGATTAATTAATTAACTATTAATTAAATTTAAACTCCTTAACGTTTTCTAGGTTATGTCGGAATATAAACTTTTTATTTTTAATCACTTATTCTAAATAAATCATCACATGGATTAAATCTCCACGACTTTATTATGAAGAACTATTTCAAAGTTTCCACGTGTAGTTTTTACCCAATAAGACGTTGACGTCTGTTCTATGTGATTGTATGTGATAAAAACATTTATATGCTGCTACTGATGATAATAATAATAATTCGAGATAAGATTCTTCTTAAACACTTTAAAATAATAGTTATTTCGAAAAAAAATTATAAAAATTAATTAATATCTTTATTTCCTTCATGTAAAATCGAAAAAATATTTAAAAACCTTAAAAATACAAAATTATATACAACACTCAGCTGTCAAAATCAAAATTGTTTGTTAGGTTATGTTCGCTCTTCGCTCGTGTTCAGGGCTGAAATATTTTTAAAGGACCCCCTACATAGTTGAAAAAATTTCCCAATACACATCAATACACATTTTTTCAAGAAATAATTTTTATAATTTATTTTTAAAAACAAATATTATATAAAAGCAATTTAACAATTTTTTTCAAGCCAAAAAATTTAGCTATTCATTATTTTTTTTTTACAAAATTTTTCAATTAACTTCAACGCGTTACTAATTTAGAAAAAATATAACAATTTATGCATTTTTATTATAATAACAAAACTCAAAAAATTTTAAATAACAATAATCGTAACGCGTTCTGACCGAACTAACACTGAAAATTCATAATGAAAAAAAATCTATATTTAAATTAAAAATTTGTAAAATTAGTTGAAATTACAAAAAAAAAAAATACATTGTAAAGCAAAAGAAAAAAGTTTAATTAATAACGAATAACATTAAATGTCCCGAAATACGAAAAATTCATAAAAGTCGTTATCCTGCATTTAAAAAAAGAGAGGATATCGCTTTTAAAAATTGAATATACAGCTGGTTTCAATATAGACACTTTAACTAAATTATCGTTTTCGGGACTTTCTGTACAAAATACAGTGTCCATATTTTTTTTCCTCTTTTTCTTCTTTTTTTGAATTAACGAAAATTATGTTGTGTATACGGTAAAATCGTCCACGTGAATACGCTTATTTGAATTAGATGGTACTTCGTCATGTGTACCTTCTTTTGGATTATTTTCATCTTCTTCTTGCAATAATTTTTTTCGTAAACGTTTAATATTTCGTAAACGCTCTAACCAATTCGATGCATAAGGACTTTGTCCCTGTTGTTTCAATGATGACGAGACCATTGAAGCAAGCTGCAAAAAATTAATGATTGTTACTACTAATTAAATTACTTATTGAATTAACAATTAAATTATCACTTAAATTATTCATTAAATTAACAATTAAATTATCACTTAAATTATTCATTAAATTAACAATTAAATCAACAATTAAAACAACAATTAAATTAATAATTAAATTAACAATTAAATTTCTAAACAATAACAAACAAATAAATTTAAAAAGTAGTGGAAAAATTTAAAAATTCTGAATTTTTATACTCACGTTAGCATGTAAAGCTAATTGTCTTGATAAAATTGCTAAATTTTGATCTGAAATAATTTTCGGCTCACTGTGACCAATGTGTTCGGCAAGTTCCTCCCTTGCTTGAACAGTGACTTGATTAGTACCGTGATCCAGAGGTTGAATAATCACACAGGCATAATTAAATTGTCCCTATTAAGAAAAAAAAAAGAAAATTTCAAAGATAAATACAATCACATTACGATACTTCAGTGTAATACAGTCCTATCTTCTGGTAATATTTTGTACAGTCCTATCTTCAGGTGATACTTTGTATCGTGCTGTCAAAAAGTAGGGTTAATGTATTAGCTGTTTTCTAAATGCATTTAAGTGGTTAAATTTTATTAATTTACACTAAATTTTTATATATTATGATAAAAAGTATCTCTTAAAATATAAAAAATTATTGTTTTGAATGTAATCAATATTTTAAGTACCGTAATTTATTTTTTTTATTCACACCACAATCTGTCAAATTAGAGATAGCACGATACAAAACATCACCTCGAGATGGGACAGTTTAAAGTATTACCAGAAGATAGGATTGTATCACACTGAGGTATCGATTACATTTCCAAATATAAAAATTCTTTTTAATATTTAGGAAAATAGTATTCAATACCTTGACAGTTTGTATATTATAAGGTTCTCCACTTTCGTTGTAAACAATGCTAACGTAATTATTTCCAATGTGCTGCTTTTTCCAAGTTGATTTCGGATCGCCGGCTTTATTTGGCATCAACGTGGCAACATGAAACACAACCTGAAACAATAAAAAAAAAATACTCCTTAAAATTGAAAATATTAAATTAACATTTTTTGAATTGATTAATTAAATTAATCAATTAATACAACATTAATAAATAAAATACAAAATCACTTAACCCCTTCACTGGCAGAGCGTTCCAAATGGCGTTCCTGCCAGTAAAGGGGTTAATAAAAAAAAAATACCTTAAAAATGTAAAATTTAATTATTTACTGTTTTTATTTTATTTAATTCTACTGACTTGAGTGACATCGTCGTGCCAGATGTAGGTAAAAGTGCCATGCTCTCCCAAACGATCGAGACCGCCGAGAAAAATGGATGTTTCGTCAATGTTCTTCAACATCACCAAAGTGCCAAGCCTCTGTAAAAACTCTGAATATCGAGTCGAGCCATGTTGATTGGCTAAAATTTCCGCCTCGTTTGACACTTGACCTGGACCAACGTACAAAACGCCAATTTTGTGTGTTTCATACGGATGTATTTTATCCAAAATTGTAATTGCCCTCTTCATCGACGAAGGCACTAATAAAGGTTTCTCACTTCCATAGTAGGCCTTGTGATAAAGTTGCAGAAACACGGAACTGAAATTAAAAAAATAAATTTTAAAGTAGAAAAAATTAAAAATTAGTTTAACAAATTAATTAATTTTGATGAAATGAAAGTTTTCGAACCTAGGACTTATTCCATTTCTCGGCGATTCCTTAACTCTTGGAGAATTCCCTCGTCGAATATTATCCCAATCACCTCGTGTACCTTTCACTGGACTCATAACAGAAATTGTGTGTCCTCTGTCACGAAACGCAAGGGGTGGTAACGTTGATGGATCGGATTTCTCGTCCTTTATCTTTGCAGAAAAATAAAAATATATATCATTATAGATCCAATTATTATTATTTATTTATCAACACTTTTTTCTATTCATTATACCTTTTCAATTAAAAGATTCCTTCCAATCGGTGGTTTAGAATCTACCAATCGTTGACTTAAATCGAGACTTGACAAACGTGATGAATAAAGTTGCGTTGGCGATTGTGGTGGTTTTGAAACTTGACCCTGTATTACCGGATTTCGACTTTGTGCTGACAGAAAGCTTATTGGAGCCTGAAAATTTCATTTTTAAACTTTAGAGATTGAAAAATAAAAACTTTATTTCTAACTATTGATAAAATAATTTATTTAAATAAAAAACCTTAAGATCTCTTAATTAAATAATTATAATTCAATTAGAAAAAAAATAAGGAAAAGAAAATTTACAAAGTAAATAATAGAAATGAAAAATTATCTAACTTGAATTGCTGTTGGCGAAGGTGGAACTGTATTGCTTGTTGTCGTCGTCGACGTCTGAGTAGTTTGAGAAATTCCAGGATACGAACGCTGAGAACGTAAACCTGACGGATGATCACCAGAATTTTCATTAGACGGCGGCGTTGTTCCCATTCCAGCCATTTCTTCCGGAATCGCCTCACAACTAACTCTATAAAAACAAAATTAATAGTTGATTAACTAATTAGATTTCTTTTTTTAATTCAATTTTTTGAGTTTAATTTTTTTAATTTAGTATTTATTAGCAATTAATTTGCCAATTTTCAATTCACTTTACTTTCATATTTTTAATTCCGAAATTTTCAATTACCTCATATCTTTAGTAAACGTATTCTTCACATGTTTCTTTAAATCCGTATCCAATTTTATTTCAAAATCACTGGACGCAACATCGCGCTCAGCCTGCTGAAGAACTAATTTATCCTTATTGAGAAATGGATTTTTCCAGTTTGCACTCATTTCTGGACTAGAATTAGATCTACGAACGGGATTCCGAGAACGACGTCCGTCTGTAAAATATAAAAAGTAAATATTAAATTACAAAACTTTGACGGTGATTCTCTGAAAATAAATTTCTAAAACCATCTGAACTTTAATAATTTTGTTAAAAATGTAAATTACTCTGAAAAGAAATTTATGTTTAAAAAAAATATCGAATTCTTGACTGAAACTTTTCATAAATTCTTACTCATGAAAGTAAAAAAATATTTTTAAAAAATTAACCTTCTTCTCCTTCTTCTAAACTTTCGAGACTATCACGAGAACTTTGACGTGTGGGACTTGGCCGAGCAGGAGATCCTGGAATGGCAATCGGTCCCGAAGAGCTGCCAAACTTCATTGAATTATTCTGCTGATCACACTGCAGTTGATCTACAAGCGCGTCCGGTACATCTTGCTATAAAGTAAAATATTTTCGCAGATTAAAAATTAAGTTTCAGATTTCAGAAATTGATTGAAAAAAATAAGAATTTAATTTAATAAAAGGAAACAATTAATTACCTCCAATTCATCACCGGAGAATTCAGATACAAAATCCTGTGTTTTTTGTGCATTCATATCGTCCGTTGGCATATAGAGAGAAATAATATCATGAATTGGAAAATCAGAGAGATTTTCAAGATTCATGGAATTTTGTATTCGTATAATCCAGGACATGTCACCGGTTGGTCGACGAACGTAAATTTCCGCCCAACCTTGACACCAGCAAGCGCAAGCTTCAAATTCCTCTTGCTTCTCGCTATTGAGTATTTGCTCCAGTTTCGACGGTTCCAATTGCTCCTTCTCGTGTCTATCTAAAGGCACATCACGCTTCGAAGAATCTGTCTCGTCGAATAATTTCTTTGATTCCTCCGTGGGCGAATTCGTTGCTGTATTTGCATTTGAGCTACCATGACCACCGCCGGACGATTGTCTTGATAATTTCTCCTCTTTAGCGCCCTCGATACTTGAAGTTCGCCACAGGCCGGGTTGATTTGATTTCGAGTGCTCGGGCGTTGGCGGTGTTGCTTTACACATTGCCCAGCAATTATCACAAAGACCGCTTTTCATTGCTTTATTGCTGCATTCACTCGTGGTCACGGTAATTAATTTATGTCCAATAAGCCACGTCATTGATTGTCCGCCTTTCAGCAAAAAATCCGCTGTTGGCAATCTGCAAATTCGAAATTTAATTATCAATTTCAGAAAAATTGTTTTATTTCCCGGGTTGGCACAAAAATCAAATTTTCAAAGATTATAATTTAAAAACTTTTCAAAATTCAATTATTTCAAAAAATTGCAAATATTAGTAAATTCTCCAAAATTCAATTATTATCTAAAATTTTAACTGAAATATTTTTAAATCAATTTTCATTAGAAAATTCTACGAGAATTCATTTATTATTTAAATAAACAATTAAATTATTTATTGAATAATTGATTGTTTCTGAAAATTGAATTCTTATAAAGAATTTTATCAACAAATTTTTAAATAATTATATTTTTTCGACGAATTTTAATAAAATTTTTAAGAATAATTACTTTTTTGAGAGAATTTAGCGATGAGTTTTATTATTTACAAAAATAATTAAATTTTTAAAAAGAATTATTGTATTATTTATGAAAATAATTGGATTTTTGAAAACTTTTTTAAAATGAAATTATTAGTTGGAAATTTATAAAAAATTAATAAATAATTGAATTCCGTTGAAAATATTTATAAAAATAGTAAATATTGAAAATCATTAAATTGAGGGAAATTTATGAAAAGAATTGAAACTTAAACAAAAATTATATTAAACTTTGGAAAGTAATTGAATTTCGGAGAAGAATTTTATTAAAATTTTTGAAAAAAATTGAAATTTTGCCAATTTTATTAGAATTTTTGAAAATAATTGTAATTTTACCAAGAATTTTATTAAAAATTTTGAAAATAATTGAAATTTTGACAAGAATTTTATTAAAAATTTGGAAACTAATTAAATTTCGGGAAAGAATTTTATTATTTATAAAGAAAAAAAAAATTTTGACAATTTTTTTGTAATTTTTGAACATAATTGAATTTTTGCGCAAAGAACTTTATTACTTTTGAAAATAATTGAATTATGGCGAAGAAATTTATAAAAAAAATTTGTAAATAATTGAATTAATCGTGAAATATTGCGAAGAAATTTATCAAATTTCTTCTAAATAATTAAATTCCTTTGGAAAATTTTGTTAAAATAGTAGATATTGAAAATCATTGAAGTGAGGAACATTTTTGAAAACTAATTGAAATTTTGCTAAAGAATTTTATAAAAATATTGGAAAAAATTGAATTTTGGAGAAGAATTTTATTATTTTTAAAAATTATTGAAATTTTGACGAGAATTTATTACAATTTTTGAAATAATTGAATTTCTACAAAAAATTGTATTACTTTTGAAAATAATTGAATTTCTACTATCATTTTTAATTTTTTCCAAAAATCAACTTTTTTTTTAGTGTTTTTAACAATTCTTCTGAAAATCCTTTATTTTAAATAATTTATTAAATACGTATTAAGAAATCCAGTTAATTATTATTTCATTTATTAAATTTGAATTTAAATTATCAAAATTTTTCAAAAATCTAAAGTGTTTAAAATTTCTAATGAAATTCATTCAAAATTAAAATTTTCTGAAATTTCATATTAAAACCTTTTGAAGTTCATTTATTTATGAAAATTGTAAACGCAACTCTTTTTAAATTTAATTAATTTTGAAATATTTAAGTAAAATTATTCATTAAACAATTTCCAAGTAATAATTTTATTTTATTTGTTCAAGAATTAAGTTATTTAATAATAAATTATTATCAGAAATAGAAAAACTTAAAGGTTTTATATTAGAATTCGTGGTAATTTCATAATTTATGAGGTAAACAAAACAGTCACAAAAATTCAGAATTTTTTTATGAATTCTAAAAATTAAATTTTTTCCCGTATTTTTGATAAAAATCCCTGACTTTTCCCTGATTGCAATTATACTTTCCCTTGTTTTTCCCTGCTCAGTGGCAACCCTGATTTCAATGTTTTTATTTTACTGAAAAAATATTTTTTGCTCTTGTGGCCTATTTTTATTTTACTGTCAAATTTTCGAATCTCACCTTTTCGGTCTCGCTGAATACGTGGAAAATGTATATCGTGCCATAAGATCAATGCAAGTTTCCGTGAGTTCCGCATGAAAATCCATCAGAGCTTCATCAATTCTCGGCTTCAAATCCAATGTCCGATTTTCATTCATCATTCGATTTGTCATAATCGGCCTCTCCTGACGCCCCCGACTTCCCTGCTCTGTCAAACTCGAACTTCTTTTTCGATTCGACGAATCCTCATTAACAACTTTAAACTCCGCTTTCATCAGATGACCCTCCTCAAAAGGTACCAATACATTTGATTTCAATCCAGCTGTAATGAATTTCACGAAGACACGACGAAATGGTAAACGACACTTGAGAAACCACACGGCAATAACATGATGCGCCAACGAAACAGTATAATGATTATATTTATACGGATTTGTGTATGGCAATAATATGGCAAAAACCGACATATATTGATCGACAATAAAACTCGCAAATACTTTTGGTAATCTCGTTAATGTTGAGAGAAATTCGAGTATTGGAATGGCAATATGTACAGTGGCTGAAATTTTCGATAAATTCAATAAAACTTCAGTTAACAATTTATTCATTGCGTCACGCATTTCCAAAGTGCATGTTGTCAGGCTCGTGACACATTGACTTGCACATCGCGTTGTTAATCCAACTTCCAGACATTGAATTAAACGTTGCTGTAAATTTGGTTGCAAATAGACGTGATACGATGTTATTGAGGCAAGAACGGGAAACACGTGTGTCTTAAAATCCGAAGCAGTAAATTTCAGTGGGACATTATTTAAACTTTCTGGCAATTGTAATGATTTGTCGCTAACCATCGAGCAAAGTGCACTTGTGAGTTCGTGAATATCGCTTTGACGTGATAATATTAATGTTCGATTTTGCATAACTTGAGGCAATTCTTTCAATATCATTTGCAGGACTTTCCAATCTTTCTCCTGTCTTATGCAGAATATTATTGCCCGGCATGCGTGCGCCAATGAAATTTGTGTAATGTGACAGGATAAATGTTGCAGAGGTGCTGGACTCGCTGGCGGTGGACTGCTACCACCGCTGCCAGTCGTTAGCTTATCGTTCGACGAATGTTCCAAAGCTAAATACGAACTAAAACGTAGAATTGTGCCAGTTGATGGGTCCGGATATCCAAGATGATAGAGAACGTTCGCTCTAAATTTCAGCAGACACTCGAAAATCTGAATGAAAATTTAAAAAGATTGTTATTTTATTATCTTATCCATTTTTACTAAAATAACCAGAAAATTTACTATTTTCAACTCACATCATATCGAATAACAGAGATATTCTGGAAGACGAAAGGGTTCTTGTAATGCTGCTCCAAATGATTGGTCAAAACTTTATAAGCTCGAATCGCATGATTAGAAGGCAGACGATATAATTTTAATGTTAGAATTTTAATCACTCCTTCAATAGCCGTCTTAACGTCTTTAATATCCATTTCTGATATTAGAGGTAAATCTGACGCAAAAGGTTTATTGATAATCTGTAGAAAAATAATAGTTTGAGAATAAACAGAATTATTAAGTACGTTTTTAATTAAATTAGAAAAAATATTAACCTTTTCTAAAATATCCAATAATTCCAAACATCTTTTTGTCTCGCATTCAAAGCAAAGATCAACTAAAAGATTAGCAGCCTTGTTGCGAATTGTAATATCAGAGTCTTGTTCAACATACTGCAAATGAGGCACAACAACCCTTTCTATAAGTTCATCTTCATACCTTGACCTAAAAAAAAGAGAATCAGTTTTATTTCTATTTTGCTATTTATTTCTAAAACAATATCAATTTTTTAATAAAAATAAAAAAAATAAGAATAAAAATAAAAATACGAATAATAATAATAATAAAAAATTCCAAAAGTTATACCTATTAACTTGGATTACATTCGTTAAAACGTCGAGAACTTTCAATCGAATATTCGTTTTCGTTTCTACTTTGTAATAACGATCCATCAATAATCCCAATTTATACTGCCACTGATGATAAGTTGGACTCACAAAAGAAGCTCTATAGTCAATTAATTTCAAAACAGACTCCTCCTGAAGACAAATAATATTTTTTTTTAACAAACAATTAAATGAAGAATCGTTGATAAACCAAGACTTCGCACTCTCGATAATTAATTTTAAAAAAGTAGCAAAAAGTAGCTTTCAAACTAAAAAAAGTAGTAAAAAAGTATCTATCGAAAAATTAAATTTGACAAACTGAAAAAAACTCGTTTTAGTCGAACGATTTTATTAGATTTTTTTAAAATAATTGAATTTCTAAGAAAAAATTAATTAATTTTCAAAATAAATGAATTCCTATGATGAATATTGTTATTTATGAAAATAATTGAATTTTATTAAAATACCTCAAAATAATTGAATTTTCAGGATTAATTTTGTTATTTATCGACATAATTGAATTCTTTCTAGGAATTATTTATGTAAATAATTAGATTCTTGAGAAGAATTTTATTAAAATCAAAAAGAATAATTTACTTATTTCAAAAAAAAATTTTATTAAAATTGTATTTATAATATAATTGATTTCTTTCGAACAATTTTTTAAAAATATTTGAATTCATTGAATTCCTGTGAAAAATTCTAATATTTTTGTAAATAATTTAATTCTTCCAAAGAATCCTAAAAAACATTTTTTTAAATAATTAATTTCTTCGAGAAATTAAAATTAAATTTTTAAGAATAATTACATTTTTTGACCAATTCCTGTAAAATTGTATTAAAAATTAATTGAACTCCTGCGATGAATTTTATTATTTATGAAAATAATTGAATAGTTGCTAAGAATTTTACTCAAATTTTCAAAAATAATTGAATTCCTGAGAAGAATTTTATTATTGCTAAAAATAATTGAATTATTGCGAAAAATTTTATTAAATTAGTTTAAAAGAATTGAATTCTTGTGAAAAATTTGGTTATTTTTGATGAATTTTATCATTTTTTTTAAAATAATTGAATTCTTTTTCGAAATTTTATGAAAATACTACAGATATTGAAAATAATTGAATTTCGAATATTTATTGAAAATAATTGAATCATTTTGAAGAATTTGATTATAATTTTTGAGAATAGTTTTTTGATTTCTAGTATTAGCGAATTAAAAGTAGAAGAAATTCTCTAAAAAAAAAAGAAAAAAACAGAAATAGTAGCTTTTAGTGGCTGAAATCTGAAAAAGTACCTAAATAGTAGCATAACGTAAAAAAAGTAGTAAATAGTAGGATTTACTAGATGAGTGCGAAGCCTGTCAAAAAATAATTCAAAGTACTCACAGGTCGCGCATCTGAACACTTTTCTATCAATTCATAAAACCTTTGTATCGAACCATTAAAGGAATTAACATAAAGAAGTTTTTCGATACTGTTAATCGTGTCATGTAAAATTATCGACACTTGAGATTTTGAGACTTGATTATTTGTTTCTGAAATTGAAGATTCGTTAATAGAAAACAAAATAATAGGAAAAAGAAAAAAATATAGAAAAAATAAATATTTCTAACATACCTGCATGAGCAATAACATCTTCAATAATGTCTAAAATAATACTCCAAGCTGGTTCTTGAAGATCAACGCCGTACTTTTGTACCAGTCTTTGAATTGAAAGTGTAACTTCGTACATAACAATTGGATGATTACAGCGAAGAGCCTTCGATTGAAAATAATATTATTAAAAATTGTATAAAATAGAAATATATCTCTAGTTTTTCAAATTGATTCAATTGAAATTCAATTCAATTCAATAAAGAAAATTCTAATTTAAATTTTAATTAAAAAATTAAATTATTCTTTAATTCTTGACAAACCTCATAAAAAGATGGCAAAACGGAAGTTGCAGTACACTCTAATTTGGGAATTCTGTTTGTACCCCAAAGGCCCATATTTATGTAAAATACAGCGCCACGCAATACACGAACGTCTCGTTGAAATCTTGGATCTTGTAACAAACGACACATGGTGTATAAAGCCGAATGTCCCATGTGAGTTCCCAACAATTGTCGCATGATCTGTAAAAGTTGTAGTTCTCTATTAAATTATTCAAAATTTACTAAAAAATTATATATAATTTAATAAATAATAGAATAATAGTAATTAAATCTGCTAATATTAATTCGTTACCTTCCAGCTCATTTCACAAAACGATTCAGCATTAACACTGCGACACAAAGCAATTATAAAAGTTTCCAACGAATCCGGTTGTAAATTGCTGTAGCAAACGATTGCATCTAAAGCCTCAAGACATCCTAAGACTACCTTTTGACTGTTACTATAATAACACAAATGACAAATATTCCTGAAAAATAAAAACGAATAACTTTAGATTCCTGATTTAAATCGTAATTAAATTGTATAATTTAAATTACAATCTTTTGAAACGATATTCATTTAAAAATGCACATTTAGAAAATTTTATTCTTACTGTATAAGTCCTGAAACAATGTTTTCGTCTATATAGGCCGAATTAAATTTAATAACATTAACCAAAAGGGAGAGAAAATCAGCTCCTCGTTTAACATCACCGCCAGTAACCACAGGCATCCATTCCAATAAAAACGAACCCATTCTCTCTTCAAAATGCAAAATGTCTTTACCATTTTCTGTTAAGCTTTGCAATAATTCAAGACTGAAAAGAATAACAAAATTTAAATTAATTTACTTTATACTTATTTACTATTAAAAAACTTACAAATAGAAGATAGAATAGAAAACACATACCGAGGGCCAATATCCTCGGAAAAATCGTAATCCTTGACAATCGTAAAAAATTGTACACGCATCAATGACGATATATTTGCATATTGTCCTTGTACCAAGCAACGTAAAAAACAAAAAATAATATATCTGTGCTCTCGTGCAACGTCCTGTGTTAGTAAATCCTTAACAAGATGCCACAATCTTTCCGCTGCTCTCTAAAATGACAGTAAAAAAATAATTAATCAAATATTTACATGTAAATTCAAAAATAAATAATAAAACTACAGGGTTGACACGCTTTTGCTCATTTCAAATTCCCTGACTTTTCCAGGTTAAAAAACGGAATTTTTCCAGGTTTTTAAAACTACATTTATATTTTACCAAATTAAATAACTCCCTGATTTCCAAACTTTTCCCTAAATTCCAAACAAAACTTTGTCTTTCTCCCTGTCTTTAAAGAATATTCTGATTCACTCGCAAAATGATTAGATACACAAAAAAAAATGTTCTATTACATTCTTAAAAATAATTTAAAATAATTCTTTTTAAATAATAATTTTAATTTAATTCTTTTGTGAAATTTTATTGAAATAGTAGATATTGAAAATAATTGAATTTTAAAAAATTTTTGAAATTAATTAAATTTCTACGAAGAATTTTATTAAAATTATTTTGAAAAAAATTGAATTTATTTTATTATAAAAATAATTGAATTCCAAAAAAGAATTTTATTATTTGTGAAAATAATTAAATGTTTGCGTAGAGTTTTATTAAATTTTTTTTTTTTAAATAATTGAATTATTTTGTGAAATTTTATTAAAGTAGTAGATATGAAAAATCATTGAATTGAAGAAAGTTTTTGAAAATAATTGAAATTTTGCCAAGAATTTTATTAAAATTTTTGAAAATAATTTAATCTTCTGAAAATGTTATTATTTATGAAAATAATTTGTAAATAATTGAATTCCTGTGAAATTTTTATTATTTATGAAAACAATTAAATGTTTGTGTAGAATTTTATAAAAATTTATTTTAAATAATTGAATTTTTTTGGAAAAATTTATTAAAGTAGTAGATATTAAAAATCATTGAATTGAGGAAAGTTTTTGAAAATAAATGAAATTTTGCAAAGAATTTTATTAAAATTTTCAAAAATAATTTAAATCTTGTGATTAAAAAAATGTAACTAATTTCAGATCAATTTAAATTATTAAAATTTTTCAGAAATTTACGTTCTTTAAGATTTCCAATGAAATTTATTCAAAATTGAAATTTTACAAAATTACAAATTAAAACCTTTTGAAGTTCATCTACTTGTGAAAATTATAAACGCAACTCTTTTAAATAATTGAAATAATTTTGAAATATTTAAGTAAAGTAATTTATCAAATTATTTCCATGTAGTCGGATTATTAGAATTAGTGAAAATAAAACATTTCTTACCTCTTCCCACTGATTGTTTAAAACAGAGTCACAAAGATCTTTGATAGCCTTTAAACGTTGAGTAACTGGAGTTTCTGAACTAATTTCTTTTTCAATTTCCGGAGTTAATGTGAATTCCTCGCGACTCTTGTAATTTCCTAAAATTAAATTCAATTAGCAAAATACTTCAAAATAGAACTTTTATTATCGAAAATAGTCTAATAGTAAACGAGGTGAATTTGGAACTCAGAAATTTTTCTTCTTACACTAGAAAATATAATTTTTACTTTTCAAATTCATAAGATTACAAATAAGAAAACAATTAATTTGTCAATAAAATTTTGTTAATATTCTAAATAACAATATTTTTATAATGTAAAAAAGAAAAATAGTTGAGAATGGAAAGTAGCCAAAATGAAAAAATAAAACGAAAAATCGAGATACATAGTAAAAATCAAGAGACGTTGAGTAAAATAACAAATTAAGATAATTTTATCCACTAATGAAATATATAACGTTGAATAAATACATGTTTATTAAATACCTTTGCTAAGGCGAAAAAATTGCTTTATTTTGTCCATCGACATTTTGTTGTCTTTATCTTTCATATTGATTTTTGACATTTTCCTTGTTTCCGGACCGCGCCCAACTATTACAATATAATTAAAAACAAAGAAATTATTCTAATTTTACTAAAAAAAAATTTTGTTAAAGACCAAAAGATAATGTACGACATCAGACATGTCAAAACGGACAAAGCACAAGGAACAGGGAACGTGGAACTACTCACAAAAACCGGCAATAAGGTAGTTCAAGTTGGGTGGGGGAAATCCAATATGGCTGACATCAGCTGATTTACCGGAGGACAAACAATGCATTGAATTCAATGGGACAAATCAGTTTTTTAACCATAACTAAAATTAAAATAAAAAAAAATAATAAAATAAAATAATTAATTAATAATAATAATAATAATTAATAATTAATTTTTTTAATAAAATTAAATTTTTTGGTTTTATTGTTTTAAAAAATAGATTTCGATAAATAAAGAATAATTTTCCATTACACTATGGTTCAAAAATGAATATTTAAAAAGTTATGGTTAAAAAACTGATTTGTCCCATTGAATTCAATGCATTGTTTGTCCTCCGGTAAATCAGCTGTGTGACGAGCGACTATTATCTCGCTCGAGTATTTCTCGATTAATCGAGATGTGATTAAAATGTCGCGGCAAAATATAATATTAATTATATTTTGATTAAAGCCTTGAGATTGAATTGAACTTAGCATCGTATTTTTACAAACATACTTTAAAATAAGAATGTATTCAAAAACATTCTTATGTTAAAAATATGAATGAAAAGAAGAATTAAGAAATAGCCGTAGGGATTTCCAAGCAATATGTTCTTCTAATAAAATCATAAAATTTAGTCTAAGACTCAAAAACACATTTCCAGTAATAAGGAAATGGAATTTCCTGTCAACTAAAAAAACAACGTTTTCTAGAAACTCAATAGAGTTGTAAACCGTAGGTAAAGAAGGCGTCATAAAAATATGCGAACCAATTTCTTAAGATGACCCTTTTTTTAGGTAGAGCAATAAAATTACATCTGTCTGCAAAATTCGTTATATCCTTTTTCTCATGAAAAAGGCACGTTTTGGAAATTCCACATTTGGCATTTTTTCTGATAAATAAATATGAATTGATTTCATTTATAATTTCTATAATAATTAATATATATATATATATATATATATATATATATATATATATATATATATATATATATGCATGTATGATGTGCAGATGTATATATGCACATGAGTATGTTTACATATTAGAAATTATGTATATATTATATTATCTTCAAGTTATATTGTTTATGTATAATATAAATTGTAATGTAAGACACTTCACACATTTTAATGTGGTGTAATTGTAATTTAGATTCATTAATCATAATCGAACAATTTATTAGAAATATAGAAAAGTATGATGAGTGAATAGTATGTATAAGAGATACTCCTTTATGTGTGTATAGAATTCACAGTGTCGTGCCTTAAAAGTGTTAGTGTCTCGATGTTGAATACATATCCAACAAGAGTGCGCGTCATAGCGAGCATGCGCACTCGGACTAAAATGTACACAAGACGGAGAGCATCTCCGTCTCATCTGACAACAAACTTGCAGAGTTCTAATCTTGCGCTTGACTAGAAAGGTTCTTGTCGTCAAGTTCCTTAGCCAGCTTGATTGACCAAAGTACTTCAATAAACTTAAAGGGTTTTACCTTCGAAAGGAGACAAATAAATTATCTTCTTTCGAACGGGTTTCCCTTCCGTTATACGGAATTTAATATTGTTTTATTTAAATTATCCCGCTTCCTTTTTAAAGGATTTAACCAAGTTGAATCCGGCCAATCAATCACTTTTGTTAGAGTTGCGTATTAAACGGTAACTCGGCGCGTAACAGCTGATGTCAGCCATATTGGATTTCCCCCACCCAACTTGAACTACCTTATATGTTATAATAGGGAACAGATAGGAATAGAATGGAACCAGCCAATCAGAAACATGTATTTTGAATCAATAACAATAATGGCCGTCATAAGCGGGAAAATTTAAATAGTCGTCAATTGTTTCTTTTTGTATTTTGTTAATAAAAATTTTTTCTTTCTAAAACAAATTAAGGTTATCTTGATTTGTAAATTTGACAGAAGAAAGAAATGTGAAAGAAATGTTTCTGTCAAGAAGTGTAACGAAACAATTAACGAAATTCAAACGAATTCCTTTACAAACAGTGAGTGTTCGCGATAGTTCTGGGCATGAGGAAGAAAAACTAAGTTACGAGGATCATTATCGAGCAAAAATTGGAAATCGAGAAGTAATTGCATTTGGACTTAATGGCACTCCATCTTATATTGATTTGTTCCATCGTCCATTTCCATCTATAAGATTTCGAGAATTTGGACCAGAATTGACGGTAATATTATTATTATTAATATTATTCTCAAATTTCCCCTGTTGAAGGGCTTTTTCTTATACTTCCACGTAGAGATGGATTCTTATTTATTTCCTATAAAGAAAAATGAATTTAAAAAAAAAAAATTTTTTATAGGCTCTGAGAGAAAAAGAAAGAGGAAATTGGAAAACATTGAGTACTGAGGAAAAAAAATGTTTATATCGAGCGAGTTTTTGCAATACATTTGCAGAAATGGATGCACCGGATCCAGAATGGAAATCGGTTTTTGGATGGACTTTAGTTTGGATTTCTGCAGGACTTTGGCTCTTTATTTTCTATCAAGTGTACAGTAAGTAATAAATATAACAAATAATAACAAAAACAATTATAAAAAGTAAATTTATAATTTAATTAAATTAATTAAATTTATTAAATTAATTAAATCAATTAAATTAATTACACTGTATTCAATTTATTTTTATTGTGCAAATTTACAAAAATTTTTTATTTAAAAAATATCAACTTCAAAATTAATTAAATAATATTATTTATTACATTTTTAAAAATTTTATTAAAATTCTTCACTGGAATTCAATTATCTTCAATATAATTTTAATACAATTTCTCAAAAAAAATTAACAATATTAAAAAAAGTTTTAATAAAATTCTTTAAAAATTTTAATCATTTTCGAAAATTTTAATAAAATTCTCCGTAAGAATTCAATTTTTTTATAAATAATAAAATTTGTCATAGCAATTCAATTATTTTTAATAGATTTTAAATAAAATTTCTCGAAAGAATTCAATTATTTTAAAAAATTGTAATAAAAGTCTGAGAAAAATTTATTTGTTTACAAAAAATTTCAAGGAAATTAAACAATAAAATTTTTTATTGAAAATTATTAACAAACACGATTATTTTAAAAAATTAAAAAAATTTTTTGTAAGATTAAATTACTTTCAAAATTTTCCAAAAATTTTATAAAATTCTTCGTAACAATTCAATTCAATTACTTTTCAAAATTTTAATAAAATTCTCATTCTAAAGAATTTAATTATTTTTAAAAAAATTTATAAAATTTGTTTATAAGAATAAAATTATATTGAATAAAATTTTAATTAAATTCTTCGAAGAAATTGAATCATTTTCAAAAAATTTAATAAAATTCTTTGTAAGAATTCAATTATTATTTTTATAAATAATCAAATTCAACGCAGGATTTCAATTATTTTTTATACAATTTTATAGGAGTTGCTTAAAAAATGTGATTATTCTTAAAAATTGAATTTCAATTCCTCGAAAAAATTAATTATTTTAAAAAATATTTTTTTTAAATTCTTAGCAACTATTCAATTATTTTCATAAATAATAAAATTCATCGCAAGATTTCAATTATTTTTAATACAATTTTACAGGAATTGTTCAAAAAATTAATTATTCTTAAAAATTGAATTTCAATTCCTTTGCAAAAAATCAATTATTTAAAACAATGTTTTTTTAAAATTCTTTGGAAGAATTCAATTATTTACAAAAATATTAGAATTTTTCACAGGAATTTATTTTTTTTAAATATTTTAATAAAATTGTTCTAAAGAAATTAATTATTTTAAATACAATTTTAATTAAATTTTTTAAAAATAATTCAATTATTCTTTTAGATTTTAATAAAATTCTTTGCAAAATTCAATTATTTTTATAAATAACAATGTTCATCACAAGAATTCAATTATTTTTCAAAGTAATAAATTTCTTCTTGGAAATTCAATTATTTAAAAAAATGCTAATAAACTCTTTCGCAAGAATTCAATTATTTTAAAAAAACTTTAATAAAATACCACACATACATTTAATGATTTGCAATATTTACTATTTTATATAAAAATAAACTAATAAACTCTAATATTTTAATAATAATTATTATAATTATAATTATTATTATTTTAATATTTTTTTATTTTTATTTTTATTTTCATAAAATTTACAAACAGAATTAAATTATTTAATACATTTTGTAGAAAAATCTTCGTGAGAATTCAATTCTTTTCATAAGTAATAAAATTTTCTTAGGAATTCAATTATTTTTCTAAATGCTAAAAATTCTTATTTATTCGAAGAAAAAATGAATTATGAAAAATTTAATAAAATTAAAAATATTTATATAATTATTTCAAAAAAATAATTAGCATTTTACAATTTCTTTTTTTTTAGTACGAATGACTGCTCCAATATCATTTTCACCAGAGCACAGAATAGCGCAATATTATCGTTCAGTTGATTTAAATAAGAGACGAATCACTTACAATAAATTTTTTGTCCCACCTGGTGCAGTAAAAAGAGAGCATCCGAAAAATCAAAAAATGTTGGACGAATTAAATGCACAACTCAATAAGACCAATAGTGCCAGATAAAATAATAAATTTCTTTTTTTTTTATTCTGTTATAAAACAGTCAAATAAAGTACACAATATGTAGACGAGAAAATATTTTTAAAAAAATGTTTCCGTAGTGTGTAATAATTATTGTGATTTTTTAAAAAATTATTTTCAAATTGTTTTTCTTTTTTTAACTTCAATAATTCAGGAATAATTTGTATAAAATTGCTGAATTTGTCTTCTAAAATAAAAATTTAACTGAAAATAAAAAAAATAATTTAACAGAAAATTTACTGCAATAAGACATTGAAGAAGATAATTATGTACATGGAAAATCAACATAATTTATTTTTCGTTACATGAAAATGTGTTAATTCGATAATAAAGATAAAAGCACTTGAAACAATTCCAATGAAGACAATTTTTAAAATTGTCTCAATACTCGAGAACGTAACAACATTATATTTTTGTTGTAAATTTATGCTATTGATTTGCTTCTTCTTGTATTTGAAGTGTTGTAACATTCCATTATCCAAAAATCTGCCAAGGCTGAAATATTTTTAATAATAATATAATCATTATTATAGGAGTCTTTTTCCGTGATAGGTATTACAATAATAATAATTATTTATAATAGCAAATAATTATTAAATTTTTGTCAAAAGTTTTATTAGTATTATTATTTTTTTACATAATTAATAATTTAATTAAATAATTTTGTTTTTTTTAAATTTAATTTATAGACGGGACAAATAATGATGAAAACTTACTGAAAATTCATAATCCCTGTGTATTGACTCTTTTTGCTTATCGGCATTGCTAAACAATTAATGTCACCAGTTTGAATCGTGATTAGTTTGCAATTTGGTGGAAGTTTTTGTAAAATTATTGTTTCTTCAGTGGAGTAGAGCGCAGTTTTGCTGCTACAAACCTGGCATTAAATGTACATTTTCAACTTTTAATTACTTACTTTCATTAAAATAAATATTTACATTTTTTTACTCTTTTTTTCAAATTTTTGAATTTTTGTTTTTTATTATAAATTTTCTCTCTTATATTTTCTTTTAATTATTACTTGCGCTAAAGCTTCCGTTTCAGTCTCAGGCAATTCATGCTCAGATTTAATTAATTTTCCCATATTTTTTAGCAATTGATCTTTCGTTTCCTGGTTTTTTTTGTGCGTGTTATTTTTTTTATTTTTGTATTTTTGATAATTATGTCGAATGCATGGAAATTAAATTTATTCGAAATTAATATTTATAATTAATTACTTATAATTATTAATTTATTAATTTACAATTTGTTTATTTTTTCTTTTATTTCCTGATTAATTAATAAATTTTGCTAATAAACAGTAATTTTTAGTAATTTATTAGAAAAATTTACTAATTAAAAATCAAAAAGCCAGCAATTTGAATTAATGAATTAATTAGTGAATTATTAAAAATTTTTACTAATTCAAATTTTGCTCAGAATTTAAAAACAAATAAAAATAATTGACTTACTTGAAACATAGCATAATGAACACTTTCTTTTAAAACCACTAATTTGTAGCTACCATCTTTTACAAAACCTTCCAGGGTTGTAAATGGAAGAACAGTTGAAGGCACTGTTAAGTAACTAATTAATGTCGCAGAATAGACTGACGAAATAATTAATGCCGTGATGAAAATTGAAAAATAAGTCAATCGCAAGGGCATAATTTTCGGAACTTCTGAAATTACAAATTTTTTCTTTTCAATTTAATTTTTTTTTTTTTTCAACTTTATGTGTGGAATTTTTTTTTTTGTGCTGAATACCTAGTAATCCTTGTTGACAGAAAATTCGCCAAACATTTAGATAATTTTCACAGAATAAAATTCGTAAACTTTTAATTCTTCTCATTTTTGCTTTGACTGTCGTTAAAATTAATGTTGTTACAATTGTCGTTAGCATTATAATACTCCAAACATGATTATGAAATGTCTGTTTAAAATTTCAAACATTGTAATTTGATTTCAATTTAATTTGAATTTTATTTGAATTTGAATTTTGATTTAAATTAAAAATCAAATTTTAGTGAATTAAAGTAGAAATAAAATTTTATCTGCATTTTAATTTAATATTAATTTTAATTTAAATTAAAAACTAAATTTTAGTCAATTAAAATAGAAATAAAATGTTATCCGCATTTTAATTTAATTTTAATTTTAATTAAAAATTAATTTTTAGTCGATTAAAATAGAAATAAAATTTTATCTGCAATTTAGTTTAATTTTAATTTTAATTTCAATTAAAAATTAAATTTTAGTCAATTAAAATAGAAATAAAATTTAATCTATATAGGTAGAGATAAAAATTAAAAATATAAAATTTAACAAATTCTTTTTTTTTACCTTAAAATATTCCAATTGTTGTATACTCGTTATGTTCGGTTCCTTAAAACAAAGAATCGCTCGTGATGTAATTAGCGGAATAGTAAAGTCGACAGCTTTTAATCTTCGTGTTGACATTACCATATCAGAAACTGCGAAATCGACATTTTTCTCATAAAGATGCTTAATAACTCCACTCCATTCTTTTTTTCTTTCGTCCCAATTTCCATATAATGTCTCATTTCTAATTATTTCTATTTTAAAATTCATCGACTGCGATAATTCTTCCATTATCTTGCCAAAAAATCCTCCCAATTTTCCAAATTGATTTTCAACCATTGGCGATCCCTGCGATTGGCGAAAATATTTTATTTTACATTAATTAATTAATTTTAACTATTTTAATTAATTACTTTTAACTGTAATAAAAATATTTATTAAAACTTCGACCTACTGGCCCAAAAGTTTATTTAACTACTATACAAAAGAAAATTTTATTCGACACAAATAAAATTTTTATTTGAACCAAAGAAAATTTTATTTAAACCAAATAAATTTTATTTGAACCAAAAAAAGTTTTATTTAAACCAAATAAATTTTATTTGAACAAAAGAAAATTTTATTCGACACAACTAAATAATTATATTAAAAAGAAAATAAATAAATTAAAATTACCTCTATTGTAATCACTCGCAATGTTATCCCTCCAATATTATTTCTCCTCTGATAAAGTGATTTTTCGGTGAAAAGTTGAAATGCTTCGTTTGGCTGCCAAAAGGCTAAATTGAACATTACCGTTTCATTTTTGTATATTGAGTACCATTCTTTAATAATTGGATCGTCGTAACATTTTATTAACATTTCTGTATTAAATGCGACATTAAATGGATTTCCTCGAGGACTTTGGCAATAGTCAATTAATAGTTGTTTATTATTCAGAGGACGAAAAATAATTAACCAAACGGGACCAATAATTGTAAAACTCTCATTCATTATTCTCTCGAATTCCTTCATTGTTTCATATTGTCTTATGAAAATTACGAATAATTCACGTCTTCCACTTTGTCCATAATAATTTTTTACCGCCAATAATTGTGTTATTTTTGCCGTTAGCGATGGAATTCCCTCAATTGACAGTTGTTGCACTATGTCAAAAATCGATCCAAGAGCTGCAATATCTAATGAAAAAAAAATTTTATAAGTTTTTTTACGAAAAAAAAAGAAAACAATCTCAGAAAGAAAAGAAAAATTTTCGAATAAATTTTCAAATTGAAAAATACAATCAGAATACAACGATAATTAATGTAGAAGAAGAAGATTAAATAATAAGTTAATAAGTTAATTTTCTACATTAATATTTACTTTTTTAAACTAAAATTAAAAAAATTAAAAATTCTTACTCACTGTCGGTTTTGTCATTATGAATAATAAGCACAGACGATGTGTCATAAATATTATGAACATATGAAATTAATTGTGCGTACTCTAATCCCACTAAATTCGTTTTCACTTCCATCAAAAACGCTATCGATAACAATGCAAATATAAATAATTTATTTGTCATTGTTTTTGAGATAAGGCAAAAATGCGTTTTTCCTGCAAAAAAGATTTTCAACTGTCCGCGAAATGTACTTCAGAAAAACTAAAGATTATTTCGTCTTCGTGTGACAAATCGCAATTTTTTTTCATTTACTATAAACACATCGGTGAATTATTTAGTATTTTGCGATGATAAATCAATTTCACGCGGTTAAAAAAAACAGAAAAATATTTTCTCAAAGGTATTCATATGATTGTTAAAACTAATAACAATAGACAAGTCAACAATTTTTTCTGTTTATTCAATATATTATTATTTAATAATTATTTTTAATAGAAATTAGTAGAAAAAAGCCACTTTTCTTTTCTTTTATTTATATTTTATTTATTTATTTTTATTAACTACTCTTAATTATTTTTATGTATTTAATTAATTATTTACTAAATTAAATAAATAAAAATAAATATAGAAATGATTGTAAATTGAATTCAAATCTATTAATAATATGATAATGATTAATGTTCTATGGAATTAAAAAAAAAGAATAAATCCAAAAATATTTACATGGGGAAATAAATCTGCAATGATAATTAATTCTAATGCTAATTAATACTAAGAAAAATCGAAAAATTCCAATATTAATATTAATACACAATTTTAATAAATATTAATATTTATTTTGAAGTTTTAAAAAGTTATTTATGGTTTCAAGATTTTCTTTACATTTAAAATATTTTTCGTAATTTAAATAATCGTATTTTTTAATTAAATTGAAAATAATATTATTTATGACTAATATTTATAATTACTTTAATTACTAACTAATTTAATTAGTTTGAACTAAAAGAATTTAACCACATTCATTCCCTTATCGAAATCTGGGAAATTAAATTATTAATAAACAAAATGATTAAAATAATTTTTTGTTTATTAATTATAAACTTAAATGCACTAAGATTAATTTTTTTCTTTTCTATTATTTCAATTATTTGAATAATTATTTTTTATATATATAGAAACTGTCTAAATTCGTCATTATAATAAACCTCGAATAGCAATTTTTTTTTGCAAAGGGTTAAGGGGATTTTATCTGGTGAAAGTAAAATCGCAACCAGTTAAAACTGGATAAAAGTAAACTTGGCAAATTACTTTGATCAATGTTACTGAAGGTATTTGTGTAAAAATAGAAAAAGAATATAATTATTTTTTTATATTCCTTTTTAATATTATACGAAAATTATTCACTATTATCTATTTTGATTGAAAAGAATATTTTTTTTTAATTTTTTAATAACTTTATATTTAAATAATTTTTTTCACACTTGAACTTCTCAATAATTCTAAATTTAGAAGCGGATTTAAATTATCGTCCCGTCGGAGACAATTAATTATTGGGGAGTAAGAAAAAAAATTGAAAATAGATAATAATTATTACCAGGTAAGTTGATACAATTTTTTTTTCTCTCCTCAAAGCAATGTCGAAATATTTCACAACAAAATAACCATTCCTTTAATTACATCCGCGGCGAATTTATTATAGAATTGCTCTATTTTATCAATCACGTATATTATAATAAAAAAAAAAATTTTTATTGCGCAAAAAAGATTGTATTTTTTATTGTAATTTTTTTTACAAAGTTAATTTTTTTATTGTAATTTTTTTTTACAAAATAATTTTTTTCATTGTATTTTTTTTTATAAAACTGCGTATTTATTTAAATATATTTCTATATTCATATCAGAAAAAAATGTACGATTAATTTAAAAATGATAAAGGTAATGTTTAAACCAAAATTTGTTATCAAAAATGGATAAATTTGTTATAAAAAAATATTAATAATACGGGATTTAATATTTTCTGACACAAATTGTTGTAATTTTTTTTTATTGCTAAACACAAATTGTTACCCACATGCATAGAAAAATGAAGGTTATTTTTTTTTACTGGTTCATGAATGGTTAAATTCCGGATGTGTCATATGGACAAATTATGACCTTCCCTATTATTATTGTCATCAAGCATAAACGTAATTATGTGATAAAAATATTTCATAAAAATATAAAAATAAATTTTGTAATATGTGTAAAATATGTGCTCATTACGATAAATTTGGTCTGAAATTGTTATAACATTTTATTAAATTATTTTTTTATGTTTTTTATTATTTTTATTATTTATGTACTTTTTTCACGTATTTTGTAGTTTTTATAATAATTATTTTAGATTGTTAATAAGGACAAAAAATATTGCTTATTCGTACAGTAAAATTTTGAAAAGAAAAATAAAAAAAAAATAAAAAAAAAAAATAAATTGAGAAGTAGGATTTTTTTTGTTAATAAATTTGTATAAATTAATGCAAAATTGGCAGGACATTAGATTCTGTCGACCCTGATTTTCCAAAAATAATACAAATTTTATAAGGAATTTTAAGGACGAAAAAGTATAGAAATACTTTTTATAAAGCAGGAAAAGAATAATTGAAAATTTAAAAAAGCGATTGAATGACAATCATTAAAAAAAGAATGGAAATTTGTACGTATTATAAAAAAAAGAAAAAAAGGAGCGACAAAAAAGATAAAAATATAATTATTTTGGACATTTAATACGAAAGGGTATTTAAAATTTTTGTAAGACCGTTTATTATGTAAATATACAATAAAAAAAAAATAAAAAAAAATAAATAAAAATTAAAACAAATTTTTAAAATAAGAAAAATAAGAAAAATATTAAAAATTGAAATATTAAAATATTACACCCATAAAAAAGCGATATATATTTGACTCAGAGCCAACTGGATTTTTTAATTTGTTTAAAATAAATTTTATTTGGTTTAAATAAAATTTTATTAAATATTTAAAAAAATTAAACAAATAAAATAAATAAATATTATATATTTATTATTAAAATACACTAAAATATTAAACTATTAATTGTTTAGTAATGTTCCATATTTTTCGACAATTGTGTATTACAAAAAAAATGTGATTATTTTTTTTTGTTTTTTTTACGTACACCAAATATGTTAATAAATGTCGTAAAGTTATATTTACATCCTTTTGTAATTCATAAGAAGGCGCGTCATTTAAAATGTTAAAAACGTTTTCAGTAAAACATGATACATAAAAAGGGGAACTCCAGTTCAAAATAGTTTTCTTTTTTTTCAAGTTCAGAACTGTTTTAATTCAGGAAAGTGAGAAACATTTTAGTCACCAGAAACATTAAGTGATTTTTAATTTTTTTTTTTGTCGTCTAATAAAAAAAAGGAATTTTTAATTTTTTGCTTCTTTCATTCTCTGCAATCTCTGTAATTATTAGCTTTTATTTATTATTATAATCCAGTTTTTTTTTGCAAATTTTATTCATCAAGATTTATTTTCTTTTTATTATTAGTTTATATTTTAAAATTAAAAAATACCAAAATTATATTTAGTTTAAGTAAAATTTTTTTTTTCATTTTTTTAGTGTAAAAATATTTTTCATACTTTCCAGAAAAGAAACATAAATTATTTTTTTCTTAAAAATTACACACTTTATTTCACGCATATTAACAGAGATGACTGACGTTAATAAGAAAAATAAATAATTACTTTAGAAGGAAAAGGGAATAAATAAAATATTTTCTGCAAAAACGAAAGATTGTCGTACAATTATTATATAAAAATCATAATACAGTAGAACCTCGATTATCCGAGGTAATGTGGGGAAGAGGTACCTCGGATAATCGAAAACTCGGATAACACGGAACCAATGAAAATTTCAAAATTTTAAATTATTTTTTATGTGTTTAAAGTGTTAGAATAATATTAAATGACAAAAATGGACGAAATTTTAAATGCAATGATCACAAATAGTGGTTTTGTAAAATTTATTTTCCAAATTTAGTCGCTCGATTCGTTTTATCCGAGTTATTCCGCATTATCCGAGCATGTTTTGTGCCTCGGATAATCCGGAATCTCGGATAATCGAGGCTCGGATAACCGAGGTTCTACTGTAATATGTCATAAAATTAATAAACATTAAATTTCCTATTAGTTGTTGTATTTAATTTGTATTATTTTTTCTTTGTTCTTGTTTTTTTTTCATTTTCTTGATTTTAAAAATACTTGTAAAGTCACGTTTTTATGATTTAAATAACAATATAAGAATCGTATCGTATTATACATACAATTATTTTTTACAATTAAGAAAAGAAAAGACTAGTGGCGTAAATTTTTAAAAACAGTATCACTTTTTTAAGAAACATGAAATTGAAAACAAGAAAATGCCAATTAATATTAGCGGCATTTAAAGAAGATTACAGAAATTGATCAATGAATGTGGGAAATCGCTATAAATTTAATCAGATTCAAGATAAATGTGTCCGGAAGGATTTCGCCGCGACATTTTCACAATTAAAGGAAATGACACTGCATTTAATGTAAATATGTTAATATTTTTAACTTTTATCTTTCCGATTATTCGTTTATCTCTCAGCATTTGTTTATAATTAATTCTTTCAAAGGAAAGTTTCAAAACTTTCATTCTATAATAACTATTATTTTTAATTGTGTGCGAATTCGCTACTTTTTTTCATACAAAATTGTTTCTCTTCTATAACAATAAAATTTTCAAAATTTTCCTAAATACAAAAATTTTAAATTTCTTCTTTTATTAAAATTTATGATTTATAAAATAAAGTATAAAAAAATTAAAAAAAAACAAATTAATAAATTTTTAAGACATACCGCCTTTTCAACGAAATTAAAAAGCTCCGAATTCGAACCGCTTTTAAACTGAAACAAAAAACAGACGAAAAAATTAACAATTAAAATTATTTTTTTTTTATTTATTATTATATTATCTTGTTTTTCTTTTTTCTTTTCTATAATTGTGGACGTAAAACGTCCGCGTAATTATAAGAAAAGAAAAAAGAAAAACAAAAGTTTTGAATAAAAAATTAATAAATAATAAAAAAATAAAGAAAAAAAGATTTCTATCAAAGAAAATCTATTGATATGTGATGCCCACCCCCTCCCCTCAATAAAATGTCAAAAGATCATCGACAAATCTTCAGGGCCTTATATCCCCTCATAGAGTGGCAAAGGATTGCTGCCAGTGTTTGTGTAATGTAGATTGGAGTGCCTGGTGCCAGTAAGAGGTTGCACCTGAGGACGTCCGGATCTTGTGCCCTAGATGTCCCTCCAAAGAGAATTTCAATTTTCCCGCGATCCCAACCCCGTAGTTCACACGTGGTTTCCCCTATTATCAAATTTTAATATTTAAATTTTAGCAAAAAAAAAAATAAATAAATAAAAAGTTTCCCCTTCATGTGTATGTGTGTGAATGTTATTCAAATTTTAATTTAAGGACCTCTCACCTTGAATTTTTTCTTTTTTGGATTTGGAAAAATATCCAGAACCCAAGAATGAACGAGGTTTGTGATATTTATAATATATAGAATTAAAAAATTAATAAATTAATAAATAATTAATAATTATATATAAATAATACATTTATATGGTGTTGGAAGTAATTTTAAGTCCGTTTTTTTCAAATATTTTGTCAAATTAATTTTACGAGGCCTTTAAACGTAATTTATTATTTAAATAAATTTATTCATTGGAAATATATTTATTAATATTTTATTTGAATTTTCCACGAAATTCCCTCATTTTTTCATAGTTTTAAATTTATTTTTTATTTATTAATATATATTATTATATTATTATTTATAATATAAATAAGTAATAATATAAAATTATAAATAATTATTAAATAATAATGAATAGTTAATAAAGAATTATTAATTAACTTTAATAAACAATATTTTTCAATATTCTCATTTTGTTGTTGAAGCCATTTTTTGCAATTATTTTTTAATAAACAAAACTAAATAATTTTTTTTTTTAAATCAAAAACTAAATAATATTTATTTGTTATTGTCTGTTTTGTTTTATTATTTTATTGTTATTATTTGTTAAATAATATTTATTCACATAATTTTTTATTTTATTATTTTTATATTATTATTATGGCTATTTTTAATTATTAATTATTAGCATTATGCAAAACATTATAATAAATACAATACAGATTATTAAATGTTAGTTTACTTATCGAAGGTAAATAATTTAACAAAACGTTTTCTATACGATAATAAATACAATATTTCGCTTAGTTTTTATCTATTTTGTTATTACAATAAATAACAATTAACGTTTGTTTTATTAATTTTACCTTTGATTGTAATTTTAATTAATTAACTTTAGTTCAAATTTTAATTAACTAATTTTAATTCAATTTTTCATTAATTAATTTTAATTCAATTTTTCACTAATTTCTATTGTAAAACATTTTTCACACTATTTTTTGTACATAAACGAGAAAAAAAAGACGTCTTTTTCTATTCACAAGAAAAAATGGAATAAAAAAAAATTGGTGTATTTACGTTTTTCTTTTCTCTCGTATTCCTTTTTTTTTAATAATTTAAAGACACTTTGCAAACACAAGAAACTTAAACAATGTAAATTTTTATCTCTTGCGAATATCCATTTGCGGGAACGACATTTATTTTTCGCAACAGCAAATTCGCGGAGTGAATTATTGTCATTCCAATAATCATGAAGGCAGTTTTATTTCTCTTAAAGTTGTTTGAAAATTTTTTTTTATGTCCTTTACGCGACGGTGCCAAAATTGTTTAGGAAAAAAAGGAATAAAAAGTCAATTATGAGAGTTTAAACACAAAAAAAGTTGAAAATGTGATATAATTAAAAATCAATAAAGTCATAATATAAATAAATGTACCTAATTATAATTTTATAATTGTAAACTAAATGTGACTAAATTAAACTAAAATAAAAAACTAAATAAAAAAAATTAATAAAAAAATTAAATAAATAAACTAAATAGAAAATAACTAAATAAAAAACAAATTAAGAAAACTAAACCAAAAAAAATAAATGTTCCAAAAATTATAAACGTTTAAATGAACAGAATATTATAATATTAATATATTTATATTATAAATATTAGTTTTATAATATTTTAATATTTTATAATATTTTTAAAATATTTATACAATCTTTAAAAGTTAAAGAATTTAAATTTTCAGTATCTGTATAAAATTTTAGAGTACAGAGAAAAAAAATACTTTATATTAGGTTTATTAAGATAGAACAATTAAATTTGATAAATTAACTTTCCGTGATTGGATTAGAAAATAATATAATTTATATAATAATATTTAAAGTCTTTATGTAAAGCAGTCTAATTTTCTTTACGGCATGTGGGCTTGCCACACTTTATGAAGGACACACTACTGCTTGGTAAAGGTTATTATAAATCCTGTATGGTAATTAGTTGCACAACTTAATTTCATCTCAAAATTTTTGCACTGCAAGCAATCATTAGGATAATTTTATAAAACAAACATACATATTCATGTGTAATTTCAAATATTAACATTTACACTAAATTGTAAATTGAAAAAAATTACAAAAAAAAAATCAGAAAATTTTCCTTTTTTTCACAAATTTTACTCTCTAAATCTCGAATAAGTTCGAAAATTCACTTTTGGAATACGACATAAGTAGTTTCACTTTAGGAAAATAAATTTACAATTAATATTTTTAATTAAGAATCGAAAAAAAATTTTTTGAAATTAAAGATATAAAAATGTGATTAAAATAAACGATTCAAATAATTTTTATTTTAGTCAATAAAATGGTATTTGCTTCAAATACTAAAATTAATGATGATCCAAATAAATTAAATTAAATAAAAATTATTTGATTCATTTAAATATTTATTTGATAATTAATAATAAACAATTCTCTAAATTTGAATTAGTATAAACATTTTCACTATACTTTAAATTAGTCACTGACTTTTTGTCTTTGAATTAGTAAATTTTACTTTTAAATTAGTAGAAATTACTATATTTATTAGTTAAATTAGTAATTACTAATAAATTAGTAAAAATTACTATTTTTAGTAAAATTTACTAATTCAATAGCAAAATTAATTATATTTGGTTGAAATACAAAATTTTTTTTTAAAAATTACTGCTTTTTTAAAAAAATTACAAACGTAAATTGAATATTTTAGAAATTTCGTTCACTCAGAAAAAATTATGTTTAAATCAAATATTTTATTTTGTTGAACAAACCTTATTTCTAGGTTTTTCTTAATAAAGTTTTTTCACCTAAATAAATATATTTTTTTGATTTAAATAAACATTTAGTTCTGTTAGATAAAATTTATATTCGAAGAAAGAATTCAAGTTTCAAGTTCTGAACATTTAAATGAAATAAGAAATGTATTTATGCAAATTTTGTTCAAAATTACGTAGCAAAAAAAATAAATTTAATTTTCTAAATGTAAAATTCAAGTTTTTATTTTTTATTGCAAGTAAGAATTAAAAAAAAAAATTTAATGAAAAATATTACATAGTTTATTTGAAAGTACAAAATTTGTGAATCGTAACGAAATAATTTGGCCACTCGAAAGAAATTTTTAATTGGACCAAACAAATATTTGATAACAAAGCATTTATTTGCTTAATTCAACAAAAATTTAGTTGCTTCATAAAAATTATTTTCTGATTATTAATTAAAAATTTTAAACGTTGGAAACTTTAGACAAATAAAATAAGTGCTAAGTATATATTCTTAATTTCAAAACAAAATTATTTCGTTAAATAATTTACTCGCGATAATAAGTGTAAATTCACCTAATGTAAATTACATACAATCATTTTCTCACGTGAAAGACTTTTGACGCACAATTTTCACGACAGTACAAGAAAAGAAAAAGATAAAAAATTCCCTTATAATTAAAAAAAAAAGATTCCAAATATTAATGACGTACATGACGATTATTAAAAGATATTAAGCACAATTAATCAGTTTATTTTAAAATTATATTGTCGATTATTATTTTAATAATATTTTTTAAATATCGATAAGATATTAAAATAATTAGGATAATAATAAATAATTAAAATAATAATAATTAAGAAAATATAATTACAGAAAATAAAAAAGAAAATTAAAAAAATAAAATTAAAAAAAATTAGTAAAAAGTAGAAGTGAAGAATAATTAACGGTACTCTGCAGCTTTTCTTGACTTTGAAAGACAATGATTTAAATAAATCGTGAGTCACTAATGACAACGGTTTTCATCTGTATTTATAAATAAATCGGAAAAAATTCTCTCTTTTTTTATATATGAAAAAAATATTAATACAGGTATTCTTTAGAATAAAATTAGCATTCTTGTGTGTGCACAAGAAATTAATTGTCTAACGCAAAATAAAACTCTCATTAAACCACAATGAAATGATAAATAATAGTGCGAGTCTCATTTTTAATTGAGGTGACACTAAAAAAAATTGATTCACTCAATTTATCATTTTATTTGCAAATAATTTTTTTTTTATTTAGGGTATATTTATTGAATATATAAACAGTTGTTGTCGATTAAATATATAATCTCGTATTAAAAAATAACGACTACAAACAATTAAATAATAATGTTTTCAGCAAAATAGTTTGCAAATTTTTTGTTGTTGCTGTTTTTGCTTCAAAAAAGGGGAAAAAAATAGAAAAAAGTTTCCTATATCAAAAAGTACAATTTTTTATAAATATTCCCATGTCTTTTTGCTTCAAAAAAAGGGAAACAATAAAAAGAGTATTTTTATAAATATTTTTATTCTTGTTTTCTTGCTTCAAAAAAGGGGGAAAAATAAAAAAAAGTATCTTATGTAAAGTAATATTTTTTATTTTTCTCTGAATATCTTTTCTAAGTTTTTTTCTGAATATTTTTTATTATATCAATTTGATTATTATTCAAATAATTGTCTTCATCGGTAAAATAATGTATTTATGTAATCGTTATTTTCTATCCATAAAGGAATTTCTAGTTGCAAAAACAACGTGTAATGTAATGTTGTATGGCATTCCATTGATTCAACTATAATATTTATTTAATATAATATATGTGTACATGTCTATATAATGATGTCGCGTCTTCACTTTCCTTCGGAATATATTTGCTACCGTACAATCTCCGATGATTTTATGTTTACCAATTATTTACCACTAATTATCGAGCATAAAATAAACATACAATTTATACATAATAAAAATATATCAATACGAGAATGTATTACGATTTTTTAATGTATATTTGATTAGAATTTTTTAATAACAATTATCACACCGTGAAAAGAATTTCTTACATTTAAATAATTATTTGTTTATTAAAAAAAAATTTTTTTTAATTATTTCTTACATTTATTTAATTATTTCAAAATAGATACATAGAAATAAAATTTGAAAATTAAATAAGAAAGGGAAAAATTCATTTTAATATTTATTATTATAATAAATAGAAATTATAATAAAAATAAATAAATTATAGTAAATATAAAAC